AGATTAGTTAACTAACGAACTAACTAGCCAACGGGCCGGCCCGAGAAAGTTGTTGCCACAATGGGTCACAGCCGAGCTTATTTAGCTAGCCCAACGTCGCGATACTTAATGGTGATCTGGGTATTTGAGTCTATGATACAAACGGAGAACTCGGTGGTTACTAGGCGATAAAGTGTTGTGTTAGCTCGGATATGAATTCGAGCTGACATGAATCAGAAGCCTGTCGGCGGGTGGCCAGAATAGCACCCCTGGTTATAGATCTACATGATATTAGGTATGCAGTACTTATTATCTATAGTAGTTGTGCTAAGGAATGACCAGCAGGGGATATCGCCTTTGGGGCCGGAGCTGCATATACTCGGGGTAGATTAACTAGGTATGCAAGCAGCTGTCTGTTGGCTGATGGGGAAATATCCGTATCCACTCAGCCGTGGCATATTGACTATCTCCCGTTTTCATTAGCCATAACTAGTTAAAGGAAGAGAGTTCCTGGCATGTTAAACACTATGACCTCTACCTCGAATGAAATGCAGCTGAGAGAATCCCTGGTTCGGCTGATGTACAACGTGGCAGCCCAATTGGCCCCTGACTCCAGCCTTTTTCCAGTTCTTTGGTCCGCACCATGGTTTAACCCTGGAAACCCCCTTGCGAAGATGAGGGCCCCAAGGCCTCCCGGTCCATTCGGATTTATCCTCTGCGTCCGTGCCGCTGATGCTGCTAACTCTACATGCGTGTATAACAAGGTATAGAACTTCCCCGCGCGGCCTAGAGCTGGTGAGGTCTCAGCTCACTGCTATACTCGGAGTCATTGGGCTGGGGAGCAGAAACTGAATCAAAAAATAATAACCGCAGACGGGGATGTGGTAGCAGCATATCGGGCTAGTGGAAAAATGCTCGAAAGCTCCAAACTCCCGTGCTGTTCTGATGTATAGATCCAAAGTGAGCGGGAGTTGCTGCCTGTCTGTGTACCCCTGTGTATAGATGGCTATATCAGACATATAGCACACTGCCCTGCTTCCTAGAAGGGATCTAAGGCCCTGTATAGCCTCCCATTGTTAGAGAGCTGCCGTGTGAACGCATACCCGAGTACCCTATAGTAGCCGTGAATGTCCAGGAAACGGGATAAAAAAGGTATATTGAGCGGAATAATCCGATATTCCATGAGGTCAGGCCTGGTGATGTCAGTTATTTGTATAGCGGGATTGCCAACATGTGTTAGCTATGTACTTCTCGACGTGAGTATGCTCTTACTAGCGAGAGAATAAGTCAGATATGTGTACTGTGATATCCCTTCCATAGCTATCAGTTAGGGTACGATTTCGCGGGAATTTGTGTCCACTCCTCCTAGGGTTGAACTTATGCACTGCCCTTAGTTAACTAGGCGCTTGACTGAAGCGCTGAATGATCACGTATGTAGGTATATAGTTAACATTCTTCTCCAGCGTCTGATTAGTTCGATCCCTAAATTACTTCTAGTTAGTGATTCACCAAGGAGTTAAATAAATATGTATTTCATGTTTACATCAGACCGGTCATTCGGCAAACCAAGATCACAAATAAAAAAAAGAAAAGAAAAGAAAGAAACAAAAAAGAAAGACCAGGTTACATTCTTAGCAGGCATACTCCGTCGAGTCAATATTTTTTATATTTTTGACACTTAGTTAATAACTAGCAGGTCAGGAAATATTCCAATGCCATTGTTAGTGATGAAGCGACTTTTCGTATCAAACTCGGAGCCAGCGAGTGCAGAGTAAAATCGTCAAATAACTGAAATATCATTGGCTACCTTCAATTTAGACGGTCCAATGGAATGAAGTAATAAGTTCTTGGCTTGAAACTAGAAGCTTTCTAATTGGTTAACTCCATATTTATCCAGCCAGACTTGATGTGATTGGAGTAAATTAATGCTGACTAATATAACTGTTCTCTGACGTCGCTTCTTCGACTTCGCATTTTCCTTCTCGCTATCTTCGTCCTTTGGATGTTTTGCAGCGCCGATGGATGGCTTTTACAAGAAGAGGTACGGAGTACTCTGTACCAAAACTATGTTCATAATATATGGGCCTTTGATGATACCTTTAGTTAAGGCCTCTTTGCTGTTATCTGCAAGCCACTGCTGTGGGATCATGATTCCCAACAGAAACCAAATAATACTGGAGGTAAAATGAGACTGGCGATTATTTACTTATTTATCGTGCAATTACTTTGTGCTCTTTGATAACTAGGAAATCTCTTTAACTGATAAAGAGCTGATGATGCGTCCATAGGCACGGGGTACGGAGTATAATCTAGCAGGAGAAATAGGAAGGGATCCGGAAATTGGGGATCCTTTGTGTATACTCTGCTGTGGCTGGCTGAGCTAGTTGATGTCGGCCGGCTTGGAGATATCATGGTGACCTCTCTTTCCGCCTAAACACGCGGCAGCATCTTTTGGCGGAAAGTCTTCACACGTCTTATTGTGATATGACTGGAGGTAGGGAGTACAACGAATGGGCAGCTATCTCATTCCACTCATTTTATTATGGACCAGGGAATACAGAGTGTTGCCGGAAGTTTCTGGCCCCGTTATTTTGAATTTGACGATATTTCTGCGCCCCAAGCCACCATGTACTCGATATGCTAGGAATGCCTTGCTTTGGGTAGCCCGAGCATTTGGGGATCGGCGGATTTATCACCAAAGGGGAATTAATGTACGCAGGAACTAATAATCACAGTTTGCCCCGAGTCAACTTTGAACCATCTTGAACCACGTTACAGATCGTAAGTCGTTGGTCCCGGAGAAGTGAGTTCAGTACTCAATACCCAGCAGCCCAATTGGGCGTGATATAACAACCGATCTATCTCTACGGAGTACTCCATACCATGATACTACAGCCCGCCATCTGCTGTTTTAGCTTCTCCAAACGCAGCTTGTGAGGATTTGCTGTGGCGTCAAGACCAGCAAACTTGTGCTTCTAGTTGACTTTATGGTTACCTCTTTTTGTCACCCACTTTTAGAGTTCCCTAAGAACCAGAGGGTAGCTAAGCTGATCATGGAATATACTCTACTGAGTGCTCCGTACTCCGTACGGATTCGTGTGATGTTGTATAATCAGAACTAGTCTATCAATATCCCGATACCCCAGTAGGATCATAGACTAGCTCTTTCAACTGCAAACTGCTTACTCCGTATGGAGATACCATACAAATCGGCATAGATACCATCAGAGTCTTGAATGCAGCACACTGCAGAACAGGCTTGGTCCGGATTCAAATACATGGGTCTGACAGGACCCATGTAGCCTAAATATTCCGTGCCAAAAAAAGCCCAATGTGGAAAAATACCACTGATGGCGTGTCGATCGTCTCTGCATGGCCAATCGAGGATAGAAAAGCAAGAGTGGTGACAACGCAAGGTAAGCAACTGAAGCCTCAATAACAGCCGGGAATAAATATATATATATATAGTCTGATAGCAACCCGCTGTTCTCCAACGATACCCTCGTCATCCATTGTCTTCACTTCGGATTTTCATAGCCCTTAAATATCCAACAATTACCTCAAATTGCATTCCTCCCCCAGCTACGCAGTCTTAATTTTCAATATGGTTTCCCTGAAGCTTGCTACCATTTTGCTCATTCCAAGTGCAATTGCTGGCGTCATCAAAAGGCAGGATGATGCAGAGGTATGACTTAATAATGCTACTTACTTGCACAGTTACACGCAAGTTCCTGAGGCTAAACTGGCTATATTGTATTAGGTCTTAGCATTTACTGGCCCGCGATGTGACGGTACCCCGGACCACCCTGTCCCCCTAGACACCTGTGAAGAGCGTTTCATTGAAGACAAGTAAGTAACCTCCTAGCCATCAGCTTACCCAAAACAAAGTATTGGCGAAATAGTCGGCCGCTAACATTCTATTTCATCTCTCCGCGTAGAGTAACCAACTCTATCGATATTGCTGGCGGAATTATTTGCACTGTTTACGGGTACGTATAATGTTTCCCATCACACACCTGTCTGAATCCTTTCGACCCTCTTATTTCGTAAGAGTTTACTGGCGCTGACCAAGGTTGATTACTAGGGTGTCTGGATGTAATGAGCCACAGGCCAGAATACCGGGACCTAGGTGCCTTCGCTTTATTGATTCCACCTACTCATACCAATGCATGCCATCTTAGAACGATTAGAGGTTATTCATAAATGCTCCAAATCGAACGCGGGACTGTACTTTTCTGCGTTTATAGCGAATGGAGCTCGTGGATGCAAGCTTTTTCCTTAGTGCAAGTACAGCATGATGCCATTGTCTGATGCACTAATGTTAATGAAATTACACATATGATATTTGCCACCGAGAATTCCTTTCTTGCTCAACTGAGATTCGATATATATGGATGTATGAGTGGCTCTCCGCCACAGCTACCAACCAGGACCGTTTGATAATGAACTGAACCGGCCTAATGCCGGCCTGGTTATCGAGAACGTGAGATAGTCCAGTAGCTAACAAAATGCCGAAAAGTTGCAGCTCGAAGTCCAGGGTTTATATAAATAAGTTCATCGATGGCTATCCAGTCCCTCCATAATATTCTTCTCATTAATTAGGCTATTTACTCCAGGAGCTAGAGCTGGTAATATAACTGGGTGCTCACCGTCTCTCCGAGTAGTGGCGAAATTGAATCTGTCTCGGTCCCTAGTAGTATTGTTTGCCAGACATATGACTTGTTCACATTGGTAAGGAGTAAACTAGGCACTGGTCCTAACATGGCTTAAGTATTACTAGTGATCTGGAATCCAATGTATATCACTCTGCCTCCTCTTGTTGTAGAGAGGCAACTAATTGTAGTTAATCTCCAATGCGGGGATACGCACCAAATTTCTTAGCGCATCCCCAACTCCGGGCTTCCCCTCAGCCTCGGGCCAAAACACCCGCTGGCAACATGGTTCGTTAAGATAGTTAAATATCTTCAGCTTCATCTTCGTCTCCAGGCCATCATCTCTAGCACAGCGGGTTTGCCTGGATCATGCTTGCGAAGAAACTAGTCACAGCCCCTCTCCAGTCTCGGTTTATACACTCTTCCGCCATGGCAAACGCCAGAGCCGCCCGCATCGGTGAGTATCGTGCTGTTTCTCCCGCTGCGTCTCATCCATACTGACCGGCTACCAGGGAACCCAGCATTATTGTAAGTCTCTTTTATTCGAGCAGTCACTCAATGATACAATTTACCGCAGAATGGACCGCTAACTGGCTCTACGTTTAGTATTTGCGACATCCAAGAGAGGTTCAGAACCATCACATATGAATTCCCGAAGCTGTAAGCCCATCCAGTCATCTCCATACCATCATTTTAGCCACGAACTAACGCCTGAAATACTAGGGTATCAACCTCTCTAAAGCTTCTACGGGCTTCCAAGCCTCTCAATATCCCGATATACGTTACCACGCAAAACACAGCTCGTCTAGGTCCCACTGTCGCCGAGTTTGACGAGTATCTACAGCCATCAAACCCCAACCTGCGCATCAACTGTGACAAGACCCTTTTCTCCATGATAACGCCCGAAGTCAAGGAGAAATTGCCTAACGCTGCCTCTGAGAAACCACTTGATGCCATCATTGTCGGCCTTGAGTCTCATGTATGCGTTACACAGACAGCGTTGGACCTGCTATCGTTGGGTCACCGGGTGTATATCATTGCAGACGGAGTTAGCAGTGCCAATGCCGAGGAGAGGCACGTTGCGCTGGCCCGGCTACGGGATGCTGGTGCTATCGTGACAACAAGCGAGAGCATCTTGTTTGAGATCATGGGTGACTCCAAGATTGGGGTGTTTAGGGAGATTAGTGGGCTGGTCAAGGAGACTGGAAAGGAGACCAAGGGTGCTTTGGAAGCGTTCTGTTCTGCTAGTAAGATTTGATTGTTATACATATTCCTCTACCAGTATATAGCACGTTTTACTCGCGTAAACAAGAAAATCACCTTCAGTCATTCATTTTCATTAATTACTAATTTTATTTTTATTTTTATCTTTATTAAAAACAAAAAAAAGGAGAGGAAAAAAAATGCCGTACCCAAGTCTATTTATTCATTCCCCTAGTGGCGTTCGTAACAATTCATTCAAAAGTGGATAAAATTCACCTTTGCAGCCTTCTTGAGCGTATCAATTGAAGCAGACTTAGACTCAGTAGCTTGGGTTCTCAGGGAGTAGAGCTCATCCAACAACGCAGGCACAAAACTACCTGGCCCCTTGACGCCACTGACCACAGCTCGCTCGGCAGCAACTTCGAACATAAGTAAGGCGGATAACACAGCAAGAAGCTTATCCTGTCTCTCTACCGCAAGGAATGCTGAAGTGACTGTACCAATAACGCATCCGGTCTGCAGTTTAAGGTGGTTAGCTCAGTGGTCTGTTACTCTGGGGAAAAAAACGGGTAGAGACTTACGCCGGTAACTTGCCCCAGCAGCGGATGTCCGTTATGAATAGCAATAGTACGGGCACCGTCGCTGAGATAGTCAGTAGGACCGGTAAGAAGAACAATGCATCCTGTGAAGAGATTATTAGCTTGTTGACAAAGTAAAACTATTTCAATTTGGGAATGAGGTCAACTTACTTTCTCTGAGAGCCAGGTCTCGAACTAGCATTGCCTTTTCCTTGATATCCAAAGTACTAGGACCACTATCCACTCCAATTTGGTTTCCAGTATGTCCGTAGATGTGGCCTATTTCACTCTCATTTCCCTTGATGAGGTCAAAGTAGCCACCCTGCATTAGAGTCTTGACGGACTGTCTTCGAAGTTGTGTGGCGGCAGCTCCAACAGGGTCAAGAACAACAGGGTTACCTGCCTCGTTGTACGCACGGATAGCCTGCATATAGTTGTCCAAGCTCTCACTGTTCAACGTGCCCATGTTAATGAGCAGAGAGCCTTTGTTCTTAGCCAGGTCAGGCGCTTCAAGACCGTATCCCGACATAATTGGTGAGGCACCACTATCACCTAGTCAAAAACAACCCGAACCATTTTTTCTGCTAGGTGTTATACTTACATCGCAAGAGCAACATTCGCGGCAAAATTAGCCACAACATAGTTAATCATATTATGGCATAGAGGGTGAGCGGTAGCTACTTTTCGAACCAGCCCATCGACTTTACCGAGAAGCAATTCCTCTTCATTTTCACGGGGAGAGATCGGAATAGTAGCGAATGCGGGGTTTTTGCTGACTTTATCTAGGAAAAGGGCAGCAGTGGCACGGGGGTTCTCTGCCGCCATAATGGCACTGACAATTGCTACTCCCTCAAGACCCTTTTTGGTGTCTTGGGATTGGTAGATGATCCGTTGGACGTTGTCGAGGTTGATGCCTCCGATGGCCACAGTACCAACTCTGGGGTTCAGGGATGCAACACAGCTAAGGATGCGTTTAACTCCCGCAGTACCAATTATGGATTTTGTGTTGGTTTTACTATCACTATCTTTAGCTTCACTGCGTACGGATTGGCAACTTAGATGAATGATACATACGTCGGAGTAGCGTAGACGGTCCCAATTCCAAGGTAGTCGGCACCGCTCTCAACTGCAGCCTGAGCCTCTTCAACTGAAGAAACTGTGACCCCAATAATGGTTCCTTTGGGCAACATCTTTCTTGCAACAGCAATGTCTACCAAATTCATTAGCATAAATATGCAATTGAAACTCAGGGAATATAGGAAAATCTTACTCATATCATCCTGGCCCAAGTGAACCCCCTCTGCCCCAACAGCAAGGGCAACATCGACTCGATCATTGATAATGAGGGGAATACCATGGTTTAAGGTAATATCATGTAACTTTGCAGCCGTTTTGATCAACTCTTTCGTGTCACTATGTTTGTCCCTGTATTGGACAATAGTAACTCCTATATACGTTGCAAGAAATATGTCAGTATTTGAGCTTTAATAAGAAGAAATCAAGCATCCGGCTCGCGCACATACCACCCTGAACAGCTTGCTCAACTACAGAGCAGAGGTCTCTATCTCCAAGGATCTTCGGGGTGGAATCCGTGACCAAATACAAGGAGAGATTCACAGGCATCTTGAGAATGTTTCCAGGTAGTAGTGTGAAACTAGTCAAGTATCGAAATGGCGGATCTAGAGTATGGATATATGCATAGGAATGGAGGAGGTGGAGGAAAAATATGAGAGAAGAAAATATATCCAGATATACGGATGCTCCCGTTCCTAGATTTCTCTGTAGTTTGGTCAAGATGTAGGGAATGTTCAGGAAGAAGGCTTGAATATTTTCACTTTTCTAAATTGATTAGTGTGGGTGACACGAAAATCCAAAATAGAGAAGTTGACGGTAGCAAGAAGAACCTCTCAGTCTGTGATCCGTGCCTGGCCAACAAACAATCTATAGACTAAGATGGGCCAAAGATGCACTTTTCAGGACGTTTTGTCGTAACTAACTAGCCAATCACAGCTTATGAGCAGAGTTTTCACGTGACTCATAACTTAAATCTTTTAAATAGTAACATAACGTCATGGCACTTATTATTAATGGATATTATTCGTTAAATTTTGAGGATGCTGGCAAATCATAAAATGACGAAGTCTTTTAACAGCCAATAGATTAAAAATTCTATTTTTGTTTCAGTTTCACCAATTGAATTCTCACAGGCCTAGTTTGCTATAAATAGAATATCAAATAGTATAAACAACTATCAACATATATGAATTCAACATTATCATGTTCTTTAGCATTTTTATCTTCACAAAATAGTGTATTCATAAACCAAGAGCAACTGATGGACCCTTTCAACCTAGGGCTTGAGAGCCCACTATTTCGAAGACAGTTCCTGGGAGAATTTGAAATCAGGACGTCTCCTAGGCCCTTCATATCCCATCCCTAGATCTATTCGTCTTCAGATTCTTCCAACAGTAGTTTGCAGCTACATAATACGCTGAGATGGGCCTAGTTTCGTACCTTCGAGGCACCCAAAGTCCGCAGTTTCAAATCATGAAGGTCAGCCAGATAGACTCGACTCTATCTATGAATTAGCAACATCCATAGCTATTTGTTGGTTACGAGGCTAAGGGCACCACGGGGAACGGCTGAGCGGGGAGATATTTTGGTAAATAGCAGAAAGACAATATCGCTATTAGCCTTCTGCATACCAACCGCAAGGGGTTTTTTTAACTATAAAAAGTTTATGTGCTTTCTGGCTCGCGCAGAAGATGTCAGGGTCTGAATGGTGGGCTGTAGGGGAGATGATTAAAGATGGTTGATCGTAGTTTTGACATTACCGAAATACAAAGGGAAACAGACAACTCCAGGCTCAATTATCTGTATCGAGTCTAGCCTTAGAGTCTCGTCTCCTGTAATGTAAGGTTATGTACCGAGGTGCGAATATCGAAAATATCCTTTGTTTATAAGCAAACTGGCATTGACAACCAGGTCATTCTTCACTCTCTTGTTCTCTCCAACGAGCAGAAATAAAATAGTGACGTCGTGTATTTTGTGACTATCGTTGGGGCTTTCCGGCTGGTGATCAGGTTGGTTCGGAGTATCCCTGCGGATGAAGTCTAGGTTAGTTGGTTTTAGTGAGATTGGCAAACGCAGCCGGAGTACTCCGTGCCCCTCGTTTGGATATCTTCAAGTCTGTAACGGGGCTATCCCGCACATCGCGCTGACGTGGACAAGCGGAGGACGCTGACGTTAGGTTGGACGCTCGTGCTGTAAGAATATTCAGGCGATAGTTATCTCTCGTTAGCCGAGCGCGTAAATGACTTTTACTAGCGGTAATTGGACAGGTACACGCAGCCGCGCTTGGCGTCAGGTGACAGCCACAATTTCTCACATGATGCTTAGTCATGCGGACCTTCTTTCAACCGCGAGATTTTTCAACGTCGAAAAACTTCAACTTCTTCCTGCTTCAGCTTTTTCTCCCCACCAGCCGTTTCGATAATCCCATCGCTCTCGACGCTGCAGCATCTACAGATCCGGAGCCCGCAACTCATCGCCAGCTCGTTAACTGCGTCTGTCTGACTACGATTGTCTCGCTTACTGTCCCCCTCCACGTCTTCTCGCTGCTCGCTGCCGAGTCGACCTCTTGGTTCTCTTCATCGCTCAGAGAAGCCACTCAGCAGGATTGAACGCCTGTCTATGTATTCGCCCTACGAAAACGCTTTCGAACACTACCTGCCGCTTGCGCTGCAACCTTTTCGCCCTGTGCGAAAACCTTGTAGTGTCCATTCGAGATCCTGTGGTTGAAACCGCCGACACACGTCACCCGTCAACATCGATCCCGATATCAGAAACGAGGATCAATCCAGGCACTGCCGTTTCATTCTAGAGACTCCCGCCTCTTCGTCGTTACTACGCATGTCGTGTAGTAGTATCCACCTCTTTCTTCATCCTCTCTCCGCGTTTGACTCAACTCGCTTAAGCGTATAAACCAACTATCCTACCGGCAACATGGCTAACATCAACATTCGTCGGGTATGTCATCAAGTTTATCTCCTACATCCTTCAGTTCGAGTGGGAAAACATTATTCTGATCTCTCTCCGTCATGGATAGGATATTTCCGATCCCTTCTACCGCTATAAGATGGAGCGTCTCCAAGCCAAAATCGAGGGCAAGGGCAACGGTATCAAAACTGTTGTTGTCAATCTGAACAGCGTTGCCCAATCACTCAGCCGCCCGCCATCCTGTATGTTCCCGCACATTCCTAACCCCTTTCATTGGTTACACAGATTGAGCTAATGCACATCAGATTTGATCAAGTACTTCGGCTTCGAACTTGGAGCCCAGGCAAACTCTAAACCTACTGATGATCGTTGGATCATCAACGGTGCCCACGATGCCCCGAAGCTTCAGGACTACCTTGACGGTTTCATCACCAAGTTTGTTCTATGCAAGAAATGCAAGAACCCTGAAACAGATGTCGTCATCAAGGATCAGTCTATCATTCTTGATTGTAAGGCCTGTGGCGAACGCTCAGACGTTGATCCGCGTCTCAAGCTTAGCTCCTTCATCTTGAAGAATCAACCGAAGAAGGGAAAGAAGGATAAGTCAACCAAGAAGTCCCGCCGAGAGAGGAACAAGGAGAAAGGAGAAAAGGCCGATAAGGCTGAAAATGGAGAGAACGGAGAAGCAAACGGTAGCCCAGGAGACAGCAATGGCTCTGATATGGGAGATGAGAATGGTGACGTGGGTATTGACGCTCACAGTGATGACGAGCTAACTCGTCGAATTAAGGCGGAAGCCGAGCAAATTGAACATAACGATGACATCGATGATGAGGAGTGGGCCGTTGATGTTTCTGAAGCCGCCGTTCGAGCTCGTGCCCAGGAACTTCCCGATGATCTAAAGCGTACCCTGGTTTTTAACGATGCTGACGGTGACGATGATGGTGAAAATGCAGTGGCTAGCTCCTATGATCAGTTTGGAAGCTGGATCATTGAAGAGGCCAAGAAGTCCGACAAGGGCGCCTCTGGTGTCAGTGATGTTGACATCTATATGAAGGCCAAGGAATTTGGAATTGAGTCCAAGCACAAGACTCTCTCCGTCCTTGCTCAAACCATTTTTGACGACAATATTGTCAAGCAGATCCCTGCTCGTGCTGGCCTCTTGAAGAAGGTATGCTCACCTGTAACTTGGAGTGCCCTATGAATATCTTTGTTCGGTACTGACTTCATTTCTAGATGATTACTTCTGAGCGCCATGAAAAGGCCCTCCTTGGAGGTACCGAACGCTTCGTCGGCAAGGACCGCCCAAATCTTCTTCCAATGGTGTCTTCCATTCTTCTTACCTACTACCAACACGATTTGGTTTCTGAGGAGCTCCTCAAGAGCTGGGGAACCAAGGCCAGCAAGAAGTACGTTGACATTGCTACCAGCAAGAAGGTCCGCAAGTCTGCCGAGAAGTTCCTTGAGTGGCTTGAGACTGCCGAAAGTGAGGATGAAAGCGAGGAGGATGATGAGTAAGACATTAAAGAATCAGCTGTTGCTCAACTCGATTTCTAGAGCCCAGTAGCAGTCCCGTTTCGCACTCCTCTACGTGCCTCGCCCGATCTCCCCTCTTAGCAAATTGATTTTCGGTTCTTTTTCATTTTACTGTTCAGATGCACCCAATTCGTCACTTACCATTGAAAACCGTGCTTGGTTACTTGTGATTGCTCTTTGGTTATATGTCTTAAGATTGTATGTTACTTGAAATTTGCATTTCCGATACTACACTCGGTAGTTATCACTATTTCGGGTCTGCCAATGCAAAGACACTCTTCACTCTATTTGATTATACCTTCAAAAATCTCATTTTAGTCCCGATGTCAAAGCCCTCAGCCTAGGCAATAAAAAACAGCTAAATACAGCTACGCATTATACCGTGTTTGTCAAAACACAGGTGTAGCAAACCTCAGACCAGCTTCTCTCTCTCCTAGCAGCTGTTCTAGTTCATTGTTCATCTTCTTAGCAATAGATTGCAGCTCCTGTTGAGAACCAAATCTAGCATTTCGACTTTTATGGTGCCTTACTTCAGTTTGAACACATGCCAACCACGTCAAGTCTGGATTCCAGAAGTTCATAGCTCGAAGAGCTCGTTTGGCCTCCTTCAAGGTCCCTCGGCTCCATCTGGTTTCGCTATCGGCATCTTCGTCGTTCATAGCATCGTCGCTATTCCCATCGTCTTTCCATGTTTCAGAAGAATATAATTCTGGGTGGAAAAAGGTTATCCAGTCCGCCAAGGTATAACAGATCTCATCTCCTATATCAGCTGGTAGACTGACGTGTGATAAGATCGTGATATATAGCGTCGTAAGTGCTTTCCAAAGGGAATGATGACGTGTAAATGACTTGGTGATAGTGAAAGATACCCGAGGCAGTGGTGGGTTGGAGTCATCTAGCACCCGAACAAGCCCTGCAGATGCAGTGCTGCCAGACGACTTCGCTTCTTGTATTTGCTTTTTCGTCAATTGCTGACGGTGTCGTTCTGCGGATTTTTCAGCATCGTCTTTAACCTGGTGCCAGAACGATTTATAGAGCCATTTCCACCGAGGGAATTTGTGCTCGATTCTGGAGGACATAAAGTCACCAGCTCCCTTACACATTGTCCCGATAGCTGTGCAGGAGGCTACTGTGACGAAGGTTTCTTCTTGGATACCAGAGTCATTGATCTGGGCTTTATTTTCTTTCAGCGTTGTTGACAGAGCTTGGGATTCACTCCCTGTTTGTGCTGCTAGTGTAATTCTTGCACTCACAGAAGGCCACAGGTCATTGATAAGAGGCAAGAAGGTTTTCTCATTCGGACATAAGATAGGAAGACCCCGTGTTAGTATGGATAGAAGTGACCGTCGTAAGTATGGGGAAGGAGAGGAAAGATGGGGCGGTATGGATTTTATGATGTTCAATAACAGCGTGTGAGGTTTGCTCAAAGGTTTTTCTTCTGGCTCTAGAGGTTGTTCGGATTGATCGGCTTGAGAGTTTATGTCCATCTCATCTTCTTCGCCGGCAGACTTCTCAAGAATAGAGGACCATGGCTTCTTTGGATGGGGTTCCAGGGGTTCGAGATTGTTTTCCTCTATTTGTAGTTCTCTTGAACATTTCTCACGTCTCCCTTTGATCCAAGCTGCTATACTAGAAACAGGTCGAGGTTGTGCCGGCAATCTTCGGTGCTGTGGTACTGCAGTTTCATCCCCATAGGATATTGCGAGCAGTGCAGGTTGCCTCGCTCCTTCGTCAACAACCGCCCCTAGCACACCAAATAGAAGTTCAACTAGCTTGGGATATCCGTGGAATGCATCCAAAACAGCAAATATGGAGCCAATGATATCATCCAAATGGGGAATCAAACGAGACCCGGAGAGCTTTATCATCATAAGGAGAACTCTGGGGGCTTGGGGCGAGATGTCAAATGTATTTAGCTTCAAAGCCACAGAGTTTATCAAATAGTCAACATTCTCAATCACCAATGTGCTTGCATCGGGATAGTTGCATGATGCCGTGACTATATTAAGACAAGTCATTGCATGATTCTGCAAGGCCGGATTGCTGGATCCCATCAACTGTAGAATTGGGTAAAGTGTATCAATCAATTCAGGTCGGAAAGATTCTTGAAGCTGTTCTGCCTGTAACGCAACTGCCTCCAGTGCAAGAGCGGGGGTACGCCAATCATCTGAGTCAACATTTTGCATGTCGGTTAAAATTGGCAAGGCTAATGAATAAATCTCTTCTATCAGCTGCGGTCGTGACGTCCATGAGACGTCGGGTTCAACATTTAACACCTCATCTATCATTAGGGTATCAGGAGATGCGCTTTTGAGAAATGATAACGTTAACCAGAGAGATGACAAGAAAGAATCTCCCGATGACTGATAAAGCTTCTTTAGCATACTCTTGGCCATGTTGAACGATAGATCAGCATTTGAGAGCCTTGATATCATAGTTTGAAGCTCCATTAAGGTCTCTTTCTGGCTTTGACGTTCAAATATCACTGGCTGGAAAGTATTGGAGTGACTCTGGCCAGTAAGACTAAGGGCTTCCGGCCTGGCGTCTATAGGAGGCCCTAGGGGCTGCAAGGGCGTCTGGGAAGACATTAATATAGCAGATATACTATCATGAAGACTTGTTGTCATAGTATCGTCAAGAATATCAGATTTAATCTGAGTATCTGATAATGTCTCGAAAGAGGTGGATATCTGCCTTATGACCCGACTTTTGGCGGCTTCATCGGCAGATTGCATAACCCGTGGAAGCGCAACTATCCAGGAGTACAGACTGGATTTGAGAATGCCTGCCACTGTTTCTGATGACGTTAACAGGCGCTTTAGTGAAAAATATGCCTCATTGTCGTCTTTCTCGGCAGGATTATGTGCTAGGACCACAACGGTTTCAACCATCATTGCCAATGAATCGGCAAGAGAATTTGAACAGTCTTCTATTACCATTAGACATAAACCCAAGAGAGAGTGACGGACCTCCTCCCGTTCGTGATTTCTGAGACGGATTACGTTTGAGAGCGCCAGTTTGATCTGTGATGCAGTTGCATTTAGCCATGGCTTATCCAGGACAAGAGGCCCTGTCCCGGTATTAGTTTGTGTCTCAGCAGTAGTAGAAGTCACAGCCGAATCATTCAGGACAGATCTGATATTGATGGTCAACCCTTCAAGACAAGCGCACAAAAGCTTATATGATCGGCGTTGCTGGGCGGTGCCACGAAGAACTTTTGTAAGCGAAGAAACCGTACGAGGCAAAAGGCTTGCTAGCACCACTCGGTTCGTGATACGGCATTGTAACGACTTCAGCGCGACAGCAGCTGATCTCTGAATATCGCTTGAGGCCCCATCCACAATGGCTTCAAGCAGTACATAGACTGTTTGGTCTATAATAGTAGATGACCCAATTTCGTTGAAAATAGAAGCTGCTGCTGCTGGACCATGTAGAACATGGCACATGGAAGACACACAATCGAAAGCAGCCACAACGAGCTCCTCTGACCGTGGCCTACTTGGACCTGAAGCCTGTGCGGGGGCACCCCCTGTAAGGAGGGTCATAAGGATAAGTAGCTGCTTGCCTAACTCAGCGGAAAGTCTCGAGCTCCATCCTCTTTCAATAAGGATCTGTAAGCATTTCAGAGCTAACTCGACACATTGAGCTGAGATACGCTGGCTCTCATTGAATATTTGAGAGAGTGGAAAAAAGGAGTATTCTGCAAGTTTCTCGTCCAATCCGTTATATGATATGACATCTTGCAGAGTTTGATATAAGGTATCTAAGGCCTTGAGGACTTCACTAGATGACGCAAGGTTCCCCTTGAATTTCAGCGTGATGGAGCTAAGCTCTACACAGGGCGGCCGCAGCTACTGAAGAGTCAGCACCACCAAGTACTGAATCAGCATACAATACAAGACATACCTTTTGAAATGTTTTCTGACGTGTATCCCCCATTACTATATAATTTCACATTATCCTGCCTTTTGCCAGGCTTTTTTTTTTTTTTTTTTTTTTTTTTTTTCGCAGATTGTTTAAATCACCAAACTGGTAAACTAGTTCTCCCGTCGTTCTTGTTTTTAAAGGTCGACGTTTGATAAGGCTGACTAATGATAACTAACTAGCTAGTTCTTACACGTGACTTGTATATTTCCTTTATCGGCGTGATATTAGCTTTATTATGTAATAATATATTTGGGCATGCAGAAATCATCCTCTGCATATTTCTTAGGCCTCGGTCATAGCATTGGGGGGTCCAGTATCTTGAAATATATATATATAATATTTTGAAAATACAGTTATCATTGATTATCCCCATAATATTATGAAATATGGCTTAGTTATATATAGAGAGCTTGTTAAAACAAATACCCAATAATGTCAAGCTCTACCACTCAACAAGCACCACCCACTGCGCCTGCTTAGAAATCTGGAGACGACAGAATTCTTTCAAGACCACGTTCCCTCGATCGGTGCAAGCGATCCTGGGACAAACACTCTGGTAAATGCACTAAATGGCCTCGCTGAATCCGGACAAACATCATGTATAGTGCACCCGCAATGCTAACCGCCATTAAACTGATTAAGGCGGGCCATCTGAATTGAGCTGGACGGGAGAATACGATGGTTGAAATAAATGAGCAAATCTCAAAAAGATTTTGCCACGCAGCCTCGGTTGACGAGAAAGTACCTCGAGATTCAGCTTCAACATCCTATGATATACCGTTCTCGATCAGCTTGAAACTACGTGCCTTGTAACTGCTCCTCTTGCTTTTGTAGCTATGGGGAAACAGTCACAAATATTCTGGCAACTAACTCACTTCTTGAATAATAAGCTCGGCACACAGCTCAAACCCCCTTAGCCCTATACGGCTAAAAATTGTACCGCCAACGAGGCCGGCCGCTGAGATGAAAGGGTACTCAGCAAATCTCCAGAAGACAGATAATCCAGCCCCTAAGCAAACAATCTGCCAATTGGAAAACCACAGGCCAGCCCGAATAGGACCAATTCTTCCCATCAGCCAGGGAGCAACCCATGTCGCGAGTACCTCAAATATAACCGACAGGGTTCTCGTAATAGCAATCTGGGCCGAGCTATAGCCTGCGGCCAGAAGCCAAGTGACCATCTGAGCCCCGAATGATAGAACGGTAAGATAGAGTAACGCGCCGGCAAATGATGGAAGGAAGACGGTGTGGCGAAGATAAAAGTTGAAATCCCTTAGGGCTTTCTGGGCGATTTTGCGGCAAGAACACCATATATGTACAATGGCGCTGCGTCGGTCTGGCGCCACGTGTGGTGGTATGTGATCGTCTGAGCCCTTTGATTTCTGCAGTTCGGGCACTTCATAGTATACCTAAGAGTTGAGATAAGATATATCTTGTACCTTGTATTTTGAGGGTAAAATTGAGATATCGAATTTCGTACCCTGGCGATTGCGAAGTATTCAAAAAATACCGAGCATGTGTTCATCCCGAGATTGACAAGAATAGCCGTCTCCGTAGATATGCCATCTATAAGAGCAATGAACAGAGGCCCAAAAAGTTTGCAGATCAGGTCAATTCGCCTCATCCTGGCGTTCATCGCTAATACAAACAATAGTTATATTAGTTTACTAGTTAGGAGCCACCAAAGGTCCTCAAACTGCGGTTCATACATGTCAGAGCTGCGTGGTCTTCACCAGCAACAACCACAACCTGTCAGAAAGTATTAGTAAAACCTTATATTATATACGGGCTGATATTCATATACCCAGTCTCTCTCTACTGAGATCATATTTATGAGGGAGCATAGCTTCTCCACACAGGCTAGAAGGGCTAAAACTGCCAGCAAGGAAAGATGGACTGTCCGCGTTGTTGGTGTATTGATTGCTAGCATATAAAAGATGACGCACGATGCGATCACCACAAGCCGCTGCCATACTAGTTATGAGATCTCAGTCACTCGATGGCCCTACATAACAAGTTATCTGACTAGCCGTGGTACCTGAGGCACACGCTCACCAATGGAAAATCGAACAACCCGGAGCCGATTGCCGATATCAATATAGTGTCCAACCGCCGGCGCAAAAAGAATGGCCGCCACACCACGGGAAAGAGCATAGACAGACATAGGTAGTAGTGTATGCCGGTAGATCGATGCTAGGTATAAGACAGCCCCAAACTCGAAGACGCGGGAGTTCCATGTTGACAGGAAATGCGAGATATATAGACGAGAAGAGACCCGTTTATGAACCCAATTCTCTTGACTTCCGGCATCATTGGAGCGCGAATCTAAGAAGGCACCAGAGTCCTCACGGGGAATCAGAGCGCTGTCCTCGCCAAGGGCGGGCTGCTCTCTTAAACGTGCTGCCATGGGTTCGATGATCGGTGATAGCAAGGACAAGTGAGAGGCAGTTATTAGTTAACTAACTAGTTAATTAATTGGTTAAGGGCCGAATGAAATGTTGGCAACATCACGACTTGAGATCCAAGTAAACTACAGTAACTCCCGAGGCTCTATCTATCGCCATTTGATATGTAGAGTACGAAGATTGGAGGTTCTAGTGAATAGGTATCAGTCAGGATGTAGCTCATCTGACCCCTGCGCTTAACTCAGCTGAGCGAAACTTTAAAAATTTACGTAAGATCTTATGTAATACAGCTGAGGTGACCTGACCCAATAAATTACAGACTTGTAATAGAGGTGTATTAGGATTAGGGGGTAAGGGTTTAGATTAGGGGACTAGGGAGTATATCTAATAAGTAGTTAGAGAGTACTTTATAACTAATCTGAGACTAGCTACTAACTAGTTATTAACTAGTTAATAACTAATAGTAAGGGTTAGAGTTAGAAATATTGTAAAAGATTATACCTTTATTACAAGTGTAATTTATTAGGTCAGGTCACCTCAGCTATATTACATAAGATCTTACGTAAATTTTTAAAGTTTCGCTCAGCTGAGTTAAGCGCAGGGGTCAGATGAGCTGTAGCCTCGGTATCAGTTGAGTTGCGAGTTTGTCGACGCGCTTGAGCATGAAATATTATTGGTCGGTAAGCGAATTAGATTTACCTCTCATTACCCCTTAATCTCGCATTAATCAGCAAGTCTTATGTAAGGTAATGGCCCACTATATCGCTGTCACATGTACTTACACAAGGTTCTCTCCTGTCTCGCTTATGCTGTGCGAAGCTTTTGTGTTGATATATTAGATTTATTATTATTTTAGGGGGAAGGAAAAGGCAAAGGAAAAGACAAATGTGGCTTGGAATCAAACAGCTTTCAATTGATAAACTAATAGTAAGGCGAGACTATTGCGCGGACTACTAACTGGAGAGCTATATGTATATCTACCCGTCTATTATAGTGACTCACGATGCCAGTCACCCCTTAGCAGTAGAGGTCTCGGTGGTCACACTTGATGGCATCGGCGCCCTTCTCGGCAACCATGTAGACTGAATTCTGGATCCGGCAGTCTGGAATGACGGGGATGACCGAGGCGTCGATGACACGCAGATTCTTGATTCCGTGGACCCTGAGGCGAGGATCCACAACCCCTTGTTCGATGCACTTTGACAGGCGGGCTGTGCCGCAAGGATGGAAGGAAGTCTGAGACCGATCGAGCACAGTTCTCTTCATCGCCTCATCGTCATCCAACGGCATCTCCCAGGGATACTCGTCCTCCACAATATCCTTGAAGCCGTCGCCATGCGTGAGAACGTCATAGGCGTATCGGATGCCCTCCCGAATGGCAATGATGTCCAAGTCATTGTTGAAGTAGTTCAGGTTGATGTTGGCCTGCTCCAGTGGGTCGGCGCTGTTGAGTGTAACCTCTCCGCCCTCCGAGACGGGTCGAACGAGGTCAACCATGACGGTCATGTAGCTGCCCTTCCTAGGGTGGGGGAAGTGCCACTGGAACGCACTGCCAAACAGGGGGATGAAATCAAGTTCAAAGTGAGGTTGTCCGTACGGGCAGAATGGATCACGGCCACCATTAGCAGCCTTTGCGGCACAGTACTCAGGAGATTTTTCAAGGTAGCTGTCGATGCGAGGGAAGCCAATCATTTCGAGGAAAGGCGAGGCCATTGGGCCTGATTGCTCCTTAGCATATACTTCCCGAGCTTCGTCCTGGCAACGACCGGTGCGTAGGACTTGGCTATCCATGGAGAAAGAGTCCTTGACCCGAAGGGCAAACGGAACTCCGGGGTGGTCCAGAAGGTGCTGGCCAACATGGGGGGAATCCACGATGAGCTTGATATTGTGTCGAGCCAGTTCTGCAGCCGGGCCGATGCCGCTAAGCATCAGGAGCTTGGGGGTTTCAAAGACACCCTGGGAGACAATGACTTCACGTGTGGCATAGAAGCTCATTTCCTGGCCACAGCCGTTGATGACCGTCACACCCTTCACGCAACGATCGGCACAGTCAACGATGAGGCATTTGGAGAACACTTCAGAAAGGACGGTGATGTTGGGTTTGCCGACAAGAGCGAGGAAGCTTCCGCATCGCCGACCTTTGTAGATCGTGTTAACGCTGTGAGTAAGACCGCGCATTTCGCCATTAAAGATGTCCTCGGTAACGGGCTCCCCGGTGGACTTCCAGGCCTGGACAAGACGCTCACGGAACTCCTTCATCTCGGGTAGCAGCTCGGCATGGGAAATGGGAATCGGGCCGCCGGCACCAATACACTTGAGTTCGGGCGGGAACAGACCTTCATCGTCATGGTAGGTAACGCTCTTCCGGAGGTATGGGACCAGTGGTTCCCAAGTCCACTCCTTGCCGCCATACTCCTCCCACATATCAAAGGTGCCCTTAGAGCCTGGCACCCAGGAGAAGTAGTTTAGACACGAGCTGCCACCAAGAGCTTTGCCACGAGTGTTGGGCTTCTCAATGCGCTCGTAGTCATCGCGCTTGACCATGGTCGTCTTGAAGCCCCAATCGTACTTGGTACCACGGAGGTCCATGGCCATCGCGGGGGTGCGGATATCTTCGTTGTCTATCGAGTCGCCAATACCAGCCTCGACGATCAGAACCCGAACGTTGCGGCTCTCCGCCAGTCGCGCGGCTACAATGTTGCCAGCAGTTCCACCGCCGACGACAATGAAGTCGAACCGAGAGCCGTCCTGGACAGACATGTTTAAGAATAGGAGTCAGATAGTTGTATATGGTGGTAAATAAAGGATATAGATGGTACTGAGTAGATAGATACCAGTTGAGCAGACTTCACAACGATGAGGCCTCTTTTATATTTAGTGACATGTCCGGAATATGGAGAGAACCGCCACCTATTTGCGCAAATCGGAGGACATCAGGACAACCAGCCGGTGCAATGGCTCGGCGCAGAGGATGGGGTATACTAAATTGCAAATCCGATTATCCGTCTTGGATACTGTTATCCAAAGCAGGCTGCCTACCTGGGTGGATTTGGCCCATCCAGGTGGCGGTCGGTAAACGAAACGAGAAAAGCAGGGCACGATCCTAGACTGAGGTAGCAGAAGCAAGCTCTGGTTGCATGTTATGGTCATCATCCTCGTTATCATTGGCGTACCTCAGGGCAAGCGCAAGGCTATATAACACGGGACTGTTGGGGGAGCTGATCAAAATGCAAAGCTCTCCAACGACGCACCATGGATACGCAGATGGACCGTTACTACACTCTCGCCGAAGGTATAGTAGGCAGCCCGCCGGCCTTCCTCTGTGATGCATCTGCCATCTGTAGACTGACTTTCAACTCCCAGGCTGCCCCTACGGTAGCAGCACCACAACCGTGCAGCTGCGCGATGGTCGTGCCGGCCTCTCCCTGCTCCAGGACACCCAGCTAATCGAGACGCTGGCTCATTTCTCCCGCGAGAGGATCCCCGAAAGGCACGTTCATGGCGATCTCCAGTGTTATGTTTCTGAGGCCGGAGCTAACTTAAAGCAATAGGGTGGTGCACGCAAAAGCCGCTGGGTATAGTCCTTCTGCTCTTAAGGGAGGGTATTAACCATGACCGTAGAATACTAACGGTAGCAGGGCCTACGGTGAATTCACTGTGACTGCAGACTGCTCGGACATCACGTCCGCCAGCTTTTTAAGCAGTGTTGGCAAGACGACCCCTGTGCTCTGGCGTGTGTCAACCGTTGGGCCAGAGTCAGGTTCAGCAGACACTGTGCGTGATGTACACGGCTGGGCAATGAAGCTGTACACTGACGAGGGCAATTTGGACTGGGTATTCAACAACACTGTAAGGTCTCTTGACGTCAATATCCTTTGTCCCTGGTACTGAGTGAAGAAAAGCCTGTGTTTTTTATCCGCGACCCGATAAAGTTCCCGTCTCTGAATAGATCCCACAAGAGAAACCCCCGTACGCATCTTCCTGATGCTAACATGGTAAGCTAGTCTTCTGAGATGTTAGTTGACCAAGGCCCCTATGCTAACGGTTCTATAGTTCTGGGAGTACGTAGGAAAGCTCGTTGGTGGGTGGCATGGTATGCTAATAACGCGAACAGCTTCCACAACAGTAGCCCCGAGGGATTCCACCAGCTCCTCCATCTGTTCAGTGACAGAGGAACACCCGCATCTTTACGCCATATGAATGCATACAGCGGACATACCTACAAGTTGACAACCGCTGTAAGTAAGGGCCGTTGTTTTCTATTAGTTACCGCTTGTTTAGCGGCTGCTAACTTTGGGGGTATCAGGATGGAGGTTTTAGATACGTCAAGTTCCACATAAAGACAGATCAGGGAGTGCGTAACTTCACTCGAGAGGAGGCCGAAACGATGGCTGGCAAGAATCCAGATTTCCTGATCCAGGACATGTTCGAAGCCATTGAGAGGGGCGAGTACCCGACATGGACTGTCTTTGCGCAGGTAATGGAGCCCGCGCAGGCAGAGAATTACCGCTGGAACATCTTTGATATGACCAAGGTCTGGCCGCATAAGGACTTCCCCTTGCGGGAGCTCGGAAAGCTTACCTTGAACCGCAATGTGAGTTTCGTATATATATGCACGAGGGTACCTTTTATCCCTGGTTAACTGATTCTGGTCCAGCCCAACAACTACTTCACGGACATTGAACAGGCAGCGTTCTCCCCGTCGACAATGGTGCCTGGAATAGCCCCGTCTGCCGATCCAAGTTAGCATAACCTAAGTCATATTTGTTGATGCATGCGCTTACATAAGTTCTAGTGCTTCAAGCTCGCATGTTTGCCTACCCCGATGCGGCCCGTTATCGCCTTGGAGCCAACTATCAGCAACTTCCGACTAACGCGGCCAAATCCCCCGTCTACTGTCCTTTCCAGCGTGACGGCAAGATGAATTTCTCCGACAACTACGGCGCGGATCCGAACTACGTCGGATCTTCGCTGCAGACCACCAAATTCTATCCCCAGCTCAAAAGAATGGCGCCGAGTACCATCAGTACTCTGACTGAGCACGAGAAATGGATGGGGGAAGTCTGCACCTTCACCTCCCAAGTCACTGACGATGACTTTGTGCAGCCTGCTGCTCTCTGGGAGGTGATCAAGAGGGAGCCTGGCCATGAGCAGCGATTCTATGGAAACGTAGCTGCGCACCTTTCCGGGGTCACCTGCGAGCGGCTGCGTAGTGATATATACGGTAGGGATCCCTCCATTATATAGCATCCAAAAGTGTATTTGAATCAAGCTGACAGCCTAAAGCATGGTTTACTCGGATCAGTCCCGACCTAGGCGCTGGTGTCGAACAAGCCACTGAGGAGCTCATTGCTTCCTCGGCCCAGTGATGGAACCAGACTGTTTCTGGAGCAAGCTCAAAAGGATAATTATTACTTGGACAAAACATCTCACATGTGATGTAGGGTATAATCGGACGGGCATCCGTCCAGTCCAGCTGAAACTGAGCAACGCTCCCAGTAGTGAAAAAAAGCGAAATGTTTTTGGTATCAACTTTTTCGTGTTTTATTTATATTCTAACATTTTAGTCAGCCACTGTCAGTAATGCAACGTCATGTGACATGGATATTAGGTTCCAGGTTCCATCATCAACTACGGAGTACTCCGTACTCAACAACAGAAATATCAAAAATCTTTCCAAGGTCGACAGCAAAGATGACAACAAAAACTGATCACTGCAACCGCTGCAATGTTAATGCTAGCGTCCATACTCTGTGTCATGGATAAGACTTACGTCTTCCATCCCGATTTTGCCGTCCCTGTGCCACAGTTAGAGCCCTGTTTTATCGAGGCGAAGGGTTAAAGCGCTATCGCGTATGATTTATGATCTTCCTTCAGCCCGGCAAGCAGCAAGGCCAGCCTGGACAATGCTGGGCGAGTTTCTATCATGCCTGTTTGCCGTATTGTTTGCTCGCTATGAAGCTGCGAGGTAGGACATGTTTTGGCTATTGTTCCATCGATGACTGCACTGCCATTGTACTGTTTCACCTACAACCCAGGGGAGTTGAAAAATGCGGCTAGCCGACCTCGAAGAATGGCCATGGTGTGTACTATGGAATGTGTATGAAGACTTTAAGTATTGCTCTAGGCAAAGCCATGGTACTCCGTATGATACCCAAAATAGAGCCGTTAAGCTTATGACCCCAGCTCGAGCTTTGGGAATGGAACGAAGACCTTCGCAAGTCTTCGATCCCCCCATACGCTGTCAAGACAGTCAAGCTACACAGTCTTGCTCGTGATGATGTTTAAACTCGCGTAGTTTAAATGACCTGTTCCTAACCTATAGTTATCATTCAGCTTCACATGAACGAACGGTAATTCCGAGTTTGATTTCGTCCTGAAGAGATACCTGGTTTTGACGATCTCCCTATCTGTTAAACCTCGAAAGTAATTAAAGCTTTTATTGCTGAATATTGCTTATTCAGGTCAAAAAAAAAAAAAAATTCTAGACGACAAAGGATTGAGGGACGATGGGTCTTGAACTGGAAATTTGCTATGTCTAGGCCCCAGCCACTGAATCGTCTGGCTGTCCTGCGAGCAATACAAGTGTACGCTGCTGAGCGGAATACTCGGCCTTGTCCATATCATACCCCGGAGAATTTCATGGTATGAACTCAAATGGCCATAGTCGCTTGGGCTAGCAGAGGTCGTGGGAAGTCAAAGTGACGTTAAATTGCTTTTTACCCCGATACGCCCTCTATAAACTCCAGCCATGGCTCGGCGGGCTGTCAACCAGTAAATCCCTGACTGATAGTTAGTTAACGGCCTTAGCCATCGTGCAATGGACTAATGCTTCCCCTTCTCTATATAGTTGCCCTTGTTATTGTTCGTGTGCGACCCCATTGCGCTACAGGATCCACCCCCTTTTGCGATTTCCACCCGCTCCACCGATGTGACGATCATGATCGATACGACCTTCGCGGGCATTCTGGGGAAATATGATGGATGGTCAATCACTGCTTCAGATCATCTGTGTCCCTGACAGATATAAATATCACCGTCTTTCTTCTCTTCTATTGCTCTCATCTTATCCTTTTAATCATCCCCAAACCTCAATCATCTCTCTATCTCCCTGTCTATCCCTTTAATATCGACACTGAGTTATTTACAACAAAGCTTGCTACCAGCATCATGAAACTCTCAATCTTTCTCCCAGTAACCATGATGGCGGCTGCGGCCCTGGCTATCGACCTTGCTCCCATCAACAATCTTCCACCATGTCCTGTATGCCGCAAACCTTCCCACCAGAGCCTGACGTACCTTCGTTACTGATTTTATATACTCCGTACTTCAGAAAAATTGCGTCTACAGTGGGATAAGCAAGTCTAAGGAATATGGCTGCCCGTTCCCCAGTCCTCAGTGCCTGTGCCGCAACCGTGGATACCAGCAATACCTGCATAACTGCTCGCAGAAATGTACTCCTGCAGAGCGTGAACAGATGCGTCAAGCCGGAACCAAATTATGCGTGGACGCCGGTAAGAATCTCATTAGGACAGATCGATAATCTCTGTCTCAAGAGCTCACAAAATTATCTAGGAGTGCCACCCAATTTCAGGCGCCGCAACGCCCGCCCCGAATCTGTTGCAGAGGATGATGCCGAGGTACAACAATTTCCTACCAATATTCCCGGAGTCCCAGGTCTTCCCAGCTTGCCCCTTCCATCTGTTCCACTTCCGTCCTGGGTTTCCAACGGCTATTCCTACTGGATTACCGACTGGCCTGCCAAATCTACCAGTACCCACGGCTATTCCCACTTTCGTCCCAACTGCCATTCCTACCTTGATTCCTACCGCTATCCCTACTCTTATTCCCACTGCTATCCCTACTGCTATTCCCACTGCTATCCCTACTGCTATCCCTCCTATCCCAAGTCTTCCATCCATCCCAGGCCTCCCTAATTTGCCAAGCCTTCCCTCTATCCCAGGTATCCCGCCTATTCCAACCCCAGCAGCTAACGAAAAGACCAACCAGGCCAAAGTCTCATCTAACTCCAGGGTCATGAGAGTAAAGAAGGAAGACTAATCGCTCGCAGTACGGAACGGCCATAGCTCACCTCTCATACGGTACAACAGCGTTGAGGTGTCTCTAAGCTCACAGGAAATTTGAATGTTTGATGGAATCTATCTTTGCTGGAGTCTGCTTTTGCTATTTCTACGGTTAATTTTTTCAGGGTGCTTTGAAATCTAAATTGTTCTCTAACACGGGCTTTGTTCACATCAACTCGCTACATCCAATATGTATGCAGTTGCAACTCATTTAACATGATTCCATGTCATATATGGAGTACTTATAAACTCTTAATCGATATACTCGTCTCAGCTAGAAGTACATGAACTCAAGCTCTCTGCCTAAAAATAGAAGCAACAGCCCCTTTTCTCGTATTCTCCAGGCAGCAGGTCACGTGAAAAATTAACGCGACGCGCTTAACTTTCGCGCGTGTAATACAAAGACTGTAATATCACTTCAGCTTCGTTTATATAACACGGCGGAATATCCCCATCTCCAACACCATATCCTGGTCTCTGGTCAACAGGCAGCAGTTCACCCCTAGACAATCTAGTCAAAGGTGTCAACGGGGCCCACATTGCACTAGGCACTAGTCGAATGTTGGCTGTCTTACAATAAATGCTGCGCGACGCCCTTGCGCCAACATGCAGTATCGGCTCAGCCTTTAACGTCGCTCCCTCAACTTCTTCTGCATTCCCCCAGCAATAAACTACAGTACTGCCTCATCAGCTTATCCTCATCGTTTGCTGCTAGGCTCTTTCCCTTTTCTCATTCAAATTTATCCCTGGTTCTATGAGTTTCTCGGCCTCAATTTGCTCCCGAAACATTGCGCGAACTCGGCCTTTCCTGTTCTTCTATCAATCTCAAAAGAATTCACACTACATTCGAACGTTATATACCAACATAACTTCCGTGTCTGCTATTATGGCTCAAAAATCAGGTGGCTCGAAACAGTCAACCCTAGGGTACGTGAGGGACCCTCAATCGACACTTTGGTGCGTAGGGTTGGATAGCTATATGCTCTGACATGCTGCGCCTCTGTGATTCTCTGGGAAGATAATACCTGCATACAGTCTCTTATAACTTCATCTAGCTGATTTCATTATACACTTTGTGAATGCAGGAAATTTTTCGGCTCCAATAGTAACCCAGCGCCAAAGAAACAATCTACCCTTGCGTTTTCATCAAAGTCGGGAGGTAGTAATAATTATGAGACCAAGGAGAAAGACGATGAGGTCGTGGAAGGGGCCCCTCAAACACCCCAGAAGCAAGTTGGTCGTGCGGAGAGCAAGCGTACTCCACCACCAATTGATGACGGGGATGTAGATGGGGAAATATTGTCTGGTGGTGAGAAAAGCGAGTCTGTTTCTCCTGTGACTAGGAGGCAAAAACGAAAGGAGGCCATCGCAACCAAAGGTGACGAGGAGTCAGATGAGCAGCCCGTCACGAAGCGCCGAAGGAGATCACCAAAATCCAATACCAAAGCCAAGAGCCCTGTTAACGGTGGTCGTAGTAAGGCGGCTGCTACCGGTGAGCAATCGCCAACTAAGATCAAATCGGATGCTGAACCAGAGCAATCCTCCGCCGAAGAGAATTCAGCTTCGGAGATTGAGGAAGATGATATAGACGATAAGCCGGCCAAGGTGCAACAGAAGAAGAAGGCCGCGGCTAAACAACGGAAACAAGTCCAGAGCACTCTCACATCCAAACCCAAAGACCTGTACCCGGATTGGAAGGCCGGAGACCCCGTTCCCTACGCCGCGCTTTGCACCACCTTCTCACACATCGAAATGACTACAAAACGCCTTATTATATTGTCACACTGCGCGCTCTTCTTGCGCCAAGTACTCCGTCTTACCCCGGATGACTTACTTTCTACCGTCCAGTTGATGATAAATAAGTTAGCTGCTGATTATGCTGGAATTGAACTCGGAATTGGTGAATCTCTGATCATGAAAGCTATTGGTGAATCGACCGGACGCAGCCTTGCAGTCATCAAAGCCGATCAAAATGAAATTGGCGATCTTGGACTTGTTGCCGCAAAGAGTCGATCAAATCAACCTACCATGTTTAAGCCTAAAGCGCTGACTGTACGGGGTGTACACGAAGGGTTGTTGGCCATTGCTAAGACGCATGGTACCGGGTCTCAGGAGAAAAAGATTGCGGGCATTAAAAAACTACTCTCTGCTGCTGATGCTGACAAGACGGGGAAGGGGTCCAAAACCATTGATATTACCAAAAATAGGGGCGGTGCTAGTGAGGCCAAATTCATTGTACGATTTTTGGAAGGTAAACTTCGGCTTGGACTGGCTGAGAGGACTGTTCTTGTCGCTTTAGCCCATGCAATGGTAGCACACGAGGCTGAGATGGACGGAGGGAAACCTCCAAGTACAGATCAGCTTGCCAAGGGCGAAGACATTCTTAAAACTGTCTATAGGTATGCTCCACTTCTGAACATTGTTGGTGTTGTAACTGAATTAACATTGTGTGATAGTGAACTTCCATCATACGAAGTGATCGTTCCGGCCATGCTTAAACACGGAATCTTCAATTTGCCAGACAACTGCAAATTGCAGCCTGGTGTCCCATTAAAACCTATGCTTGCTAAACCTACCAAATCCATTAGTGAAGTTCTTGACCGCTTTGAAGGGAAGCATTTCACATGCGAATACAAGTATGATGGCGAGAGAGCACAGATCCATTACATCTCTCAGGACACAATCAAGGAATACCCAGCGGCTTCTACAACACTTCAAAAAGACGGCGAGGGCCTTTGCGCTATCTTTTCTCGCAACTCTGAAGACTTATCCAAGAAATACCCTGATATACTCGAAAAACTGGAGGCCTGGGTGAAGCCTGGCACCCAGAGTTTTGTTGTGGACTGTGAAACAGTTGCTTGGGACACTGTTAACAAAAAGGTCCTTCCCTTTCAACAACTCATGACTAGGAAGCGAAAGGACGTGAAATCGGAAGACATCAAGGTCAAAGTCTGCGTTTTTGCATTTGACTTGCTCTTCCTGAATGGAGAGGTGAGTTTTTACTTGTCCCTCTTTAGAAGAATGATACTGACTATACACAGCCTACCGTTAAAAAGACGCTGAGGGAACGACGTGCCCTTTTACATGAAGCGTTTGTTCCAGTTGAGGGAGAGTTTGCTTTTGCTCAGCACGGAAACACTAGTGACTTGGAAGAAATACAGACCATGCTTGACGAGAGCGTCAAAGCCTCCTGTGAAGGCCTCATGGTGAAGATGTTGGATACAGAGGACAGTGGCTATGAGCCAAGCAAGAGAAGTAGAAACTGGCTGAAGGTATACATAAAAATCCGACATATTTAGAAACAATTCACTGACCTATCAAATCTATAGGTCAAGAAAGACTACCTTGCTGGCATTGGTGATTCCCTCGATCTTGTCGTCTTGGGCGCATATTTCGGTCGGGGCAAACGTACATCAGTGTATGGTGCTTTCCTACTCGCTGCATATAATCCCAAGACTCAGAACTACGAAACAATCTGCAATATTGGCACAGGTTTCTCAGAAGCTTTGCTAGAGGAACTTCATGAAACCCTCAGCCCGCTTGTTATCGATAAACCAAAGCCGTTTTACTCTCACTCAACAGTCCCCAAGGACCAACCGGACGTCTGGTTTGAGCCCAAGTTCGTATGGGAAGTCAAGGCTGCTGATCTCACTCTCAGCCCCAGGTATAGCGCTGCCAGTGATGAAGTGATGGGCAACACTGGTGGCTCCGCAGCTAAGGGTATCTCACTACGATTCCCCCGATACATCAAGGCGAGAGACGACAAGAAGCCAGACCAAGCTACGACTACAAAGGCTGTTGCGGAGATGTATCGAAAACAGGAGAGCGTAGCAATGGACAAGACCAAGGGAGCCGTGGACGATGATTTTGAATATTGAAGCCCATTCAGTATTTAGAGTACCAAATTCACGTTGTTGTCCCCTTCTGCTTCCACTCTCTGTCCGGTCAGCTTGTGGAGTTGAAAGGTCAAAAGGAAAAAGATAGAAGCAATAAGTATGAAATTTGACACCCTCTCTCCCCTATTTTTCCAGCATACAACCAACACCTGAAATAAGCGGAAACCAAAAGTAAAACCAGGCGTGTATGAACAGCCTGGTTACGTGTACAGAATCTGAAGATAAATATAAATAAACGAACCGCGCCGTAACAGACTTATTGATACAAGTTCTAAGAAACCAAGTGAGAAGACCACCACGCCTAGAATAATACCTTGAGCGAAGTAAAGGCTGCATATAAATACTCAGCCAGGAGCTTCAGAAAAAAAGAGATTCGTAAACACAGAACCTAGTATTGGAGGAAGAGGGTTGCAGAGAAGAGGACATTATATTACTCTCCGTATTTCCTCTTTGCTCCGGCTCCGTTGGGAATGCCGTTATGCATCCCCCTCCGTCTGGCAGCCTCCTCATCCGCAGCCTGAGCCTGTCTCCTCTTCCACGCTGCTTTAATAGCGGGCGCAGAGTTGATCAGCTCTTCTTCACTTACGCGATCCTGGATACTCTGAAGCACTTTCTCCACGGTTGAGATATGATTCGCATCTGCCTTGTCGTCTCTGAACCGCATGTATCTCCATCTTCCTTGTTCGTCCTGTATGCATTCGACGATGGTATCATCCAGAGGCTTTTGCAGAGCTTTCATCCCTTCCCATTCCGTCTCTGTGATGTACATGAGTCCGAAATGGCGGTACTCTCCTCTATTATGCAGAACGAAGAGATGACAGGTCGGTAGGGCGTCGTAGTCTGGGTACGCCTCGGTGATACCGTCTGCCTCGTCCTCCGAGTCCGGATCTATAGAAGGGAACTCCAGCCTTAGACGGAAATCAATGCTGTTTTCCTCTGGGGGTTTCCATTTTAATGTGTGCTCGTCCGTTCCGATCTTGTACGGTGTACTGCGGCAGGTAAAGATCAAGCCATCGTTCCCATGTATCTTCTTGACCTTGGGAATGATCTCTCGGAACATCATTTCAATACCGTAGCTGAACTGGGTAGACTTGTCCTCCACGGCGAAAATCCGGTGTTTCTTCTCCTCGGGGAATTTCCTGTACATGGCGTTATACGGCTTGAGCACTTTTTCCTTGAAATATGCCAGCCTCTTGTCCAGCGTACGGTGCATCAGGCTCGTGCCATCTAGCACCAAGCAGTCGAATACCAGGTACTTCAGCTGCTCAGTACCATCCTCGTATGTGTCATTAACCAGCTCGCCGTCCACCAGCGTGTCAACGTGGAAGCTCTGGAAGGTATCGTCGTCCGGCATGGGGAAATGTAGGCCTGGTATGAACCTGTACTCGTTCTTGCGATTGATCAGGTAGTGAATCTCCGGCGTATCCGAGTCCGGATCTCCTCGCGCAAAGTACATCAGACATCGTATCCCGTCCGTCTTCTCGCATACGTAGTAGTCCTTCTCCTGGAGCTCGCGGATATGATGGGATGCGAAACTGACGGGTTGCGCGCCGGGGAACGATAGCGACGAACGGCCCAGCAGATGGGCCACTTCGCGCCGGAACTGGTCTGCCAGGTGCGGCTCTGCTTTTATCCCGATCGCATCGATGTCAGGAACGGAATTCCCCATGGTCTCTAGGGCAAGGGGATGCGCGGGCGAGGATCGAAGGGAGGATTTGAGGCCACCGTCTCGCGACGTGGCGTCGAGTAGAGGTGTAGTTCACGGGCGAGCTGGACGGTACGGCTGCTCTTGGGCTGCTTTGGCGAGACGAGAAGCTCTCGAGGGGCCTTAGGATGCAGGGAGGTCTTACTTTGCGGCGGTTCGGGGTGTCTGTCCTGTGTCTTTGGTGGTGACGAAGGTGTTGGTGACGGTTGAGGGAGCTTGGAAGAAAGATGGCGCAGGCAGCAAAGCTCGTTTTCTTATTTACGCCGGAGTCACTCTTTTTTTTCACTACCAGCAGAACGAAGAGTATTATCAGACAGAGATAGATGAGATGATACAGAGTGTTGTTATATTATGGCTACCGAGAGTAGTATTCAGCTATATTGCGTTCATGAATATTCATACATCGAGCGTCTCTGGGGGTATCATAAAGCCTTCGTCCAAAAAAAAAAAGTACACCAAAGTCCCAGTAAAGATGAAATAAATCCCGTCGCCGTCCAAAGTGCTCCCAGTGATGATAAACCAAGCCGATGCAGCTGCAGCCCTTAACGCCGGGTAGAAAGAAGAGAAAGTGAAGAATATGTCCTAGAGATGGGTCAAGTCGGTCAAGTTGGTCAAGAAGCCGTCACAGGTTTGGCTGGGACTGCTGCCACTGCTGCCGCAGACTGGGCTGCCCGATTCTGGACCGCTTGCTGCGAGAGCGAAGGCTTCCTCGAGCTTTCCTGGGGCTGCTGTATAGAGTTATCTGTAGAGTTGCCCGTCGCGGAAGACGGAAAGGGAGGGGACTCTGAGCGTGAAAATATGCTGCGGCCCGAGAAGATGGAGTCTCCAGAGAACAGCCCTCCGCCTGCTCCTCCACCGCCCCCGAGAGCCTGAGAGAACATCTCCTTCATGCGTATCAGGTGGTATTTGCGCTGGGTGGACATGAGCGGGTGAGTGACCAACGGTTGAGGACGAGATCGAGCCAGTCCAGCCATGACCGCATCTTTCTCTTCGTCCGAGTCGATGGGGCCGTTGCCGTCGATGTCGTCGTGAATAGGTGCGTTTGCATCGATAGCCGCTTCTACAAAGTAGTTAGCACCATGCCATGTATATAGATAAGTAAAATACACATACTCTGCTGGCGGGCCTGGTTCTTCTTCTGGTATGCCTGCAGCAGCATGTCATAGGGCAGAGACCGTCCCGGAACAGCTCTCTTTGCGCCCATAGAATGGCTCTTGCAGGTCAGTGACCTCGCACACTGAGCACCGTTCGGAAGAATAACACCACACTGCTTCTCAACATCGACCGGTCCCTTAGGCTTCGGTACCTTTGGCTTCGGCTCGTCCTTCTTTTTCTTCTTCTTCGGCTCCTTGTCTTCGTCCGCGTCGACTTTCCGCTTCTTCCCCTTCTTCGCATCGTCTCCGGCGCTCTTCTTCGCGCTCTTCTGTCCCTTCATAGCAACAACTTCTCCCTCGGCGTCTTCAGTGCCCTCTTTATCCACGGGCTTGTCCTTCGTCAACTTTGCCTCTCGGGCTTCCTTCTTCTTTCGGGCCTTCTCTTGCTTTGCTTTAAGGCACGCGCGTATATGTTCTGCGGCCGCCTGCTTAAGGGCTGGTTTCTTACAGTGCTTGCATATCACGGTCTCGAGCTTAGTTTCTCTTGGTTTGCCGGTGGGAAAGGCTGCCATCGTTTGGGCGTCCATCTCGGGTAGGATAGGCGACGACGAGCCTCGGGGATCTTGCTCATCTTTGGAATCTAGCAGTATATATTAGAACGAGGTCTCATTTTGAGGTGAAGCGTAAGTGATATCAAGGCGATATACGTACTCGGCTCTGCAATGCCATTCAGCAACTTCGCGGCGGCCTTCTTCACCTTGACCTTGCCGGACTTGAAGTCTTTCTCTTTGAACTTGTATCCGGAGGCATCGACAAAGCTGGGATCGGTGCTCGCAGGCAGATTCAGCACTGCGTCATTAACTGTCAGCCCTGTATCCCTCGCAAGCAGCCGCCGCGATGACGCAGTTGGTGATGAGTCCATACCTTTCGTTCCAGCGGCGTTCGAAGCCATCATGGATGACAAACTCGCAGAAGCCGGACAGCTTCCGTCGACTATCGTCTTCGTTTCTATTCCGCTTATATCGAGCTCGATCGCAGTCTCGTTTCCTCTTGTTTTTCCTGCTTCTTGTCGCTTTGCTGTGTTGATTCTGCTTCTTCCTCGATCTTTTGGTTGGAAAAGCAGATTGGTCACGTGAATGCATATATCCTGTTATCAGGAGGCATAATAAAAAGGTCGAAAAGAAGGAGAAAGAGATGGAATATGGTATAAGCCAGGTAAATATAAATCATATTCACAAGACTTTACGGGGTATATTACTACGGAGGAGATGCCGGTGATACGGAGTAGTTCGTTGAAGTTTTGTTCATGGGATGAACGATCTGCATGCATTCATTTCGTAGCCATTTGAACTAGTTTATTTCTTTTCCATCTGGTCAAAGTACTTTTCCCATCCAATCTCCCTCATCTTCACTCCCTTGACGCCAAGATTCTCGGTCTTCGCGGCCTTCGCATACTCTTCGACTTTCTGACGCAGGGCCGGGTTGAAAGCACCCAGTATTCTTACTGCAAGAAGCGCAGCGTTTATGCTGTTGTTGATTCCAACAGTGGCAACAGGGACACCTGATACATATTAGTATTATTCGTCAGTACGGTACGGAATGAGAAATATACCTCTGGGCATTTGTACGATGCTGTACAGACTGTCAACACCGTCAAGGGCACTTCCCTTGACAGGAACACCAATAACAGGCAGAGAGGTATGGGCAGCGGCCATTCCAGGAAGATGAGCAGCACCGCCGGCAGCAGCAATGATAACCTTGATGCCGCGAGATGCAGCTGAGGCCGCATACTCTGCCATATACTCAGGGGTGCGGTGAGCAGAGGTAATGTCGACCTCCGGCACAATGCCAAAGTACTCTTGGAGCAACTTCAACCCGGGAACAAGGGTTTTCAAATCACTATCAGACCCCATAATGACCCCCACTGTTGGTTGGGGCTTTGGTGCGGCTAAAGGTGCAGATGCTACTGATTTGCCGTTGACATACTCAACCAGTGGCTGGATAATAGCCTCAGCTTCATGCATCGTCGATGCTGTCACAGTTACATGACCCATCTTGCGTCCTGGCCTGGCATTCCCTTTGCTGTACAGGTGGATGCTTGCATTCGGTATCGACAGGGCCTGTCGTGCAATATCCAGATGTGAGTCTGGAGCAGACCCACCTAATATGTTTAGCATAATCGATGGTTGTCGTAGCTGCAGGCTCTGTGGTGGGATAGGCAGATCAAGAATGGCCCGTAGATGGGTATCAAATTGCGACAGGCCGCACCCTTCAATTGTGTAGTGCCCTGAATTATGGATCCGGCTAGCCAGTTCACATAGTAACAGCGAGTCATCTTCTAGAAGGAACATCTCGACTCCAAAGACTCCTTTACCCTCGAACGCGGCAACGGCATTTCTGGCTAGCTCCTGAGCCTTTTCATTGATTCTCTCCGAGACGCCTCGAGCCGGTGCATAGACAAGCTTACATATAGAGTCTTCCTGGACAGTCTCGACGGTGGGATATGACAGGACAGTATCCTTTGTCTTAACCACAATAACAGCTAGTTCCTATACGACCTTAGCCCATGTTATGGATAATTCAAAAACGGCATAGCTTACCATCCTGAACTTAGCCCATTTCTCAGCATAGAGGGGTCTACCTTTCAAAGATTCCAGAGCGGGGGCTATATCTGATTCCCCCTTTACCGTATAATTCCCTAACCACAGTAAGTCAGCAAATACCAATATCTATATCTCTATGTATATATATATATTGAAGCAGAATCTAAATATCAAATATCATCCTACCTCTCCCGTCATAAGCACCAGTTTTGGATTTCAGCATAAACGGATATCCAAATTCCTGCCCAACCTTAGCCAATTCCTCAGGCCGATTCTCTCGTATCTCCCTATATTTTGCCTGGGGAATATTGAACTTGGCTAGATGCTCCTTTTGCGCATATTTGTCCTGAATAATCCGAATACTCTTCCAGCTAGGCTCGACTTTGACCAGGGATTGTACCTCTTCCAGAGCAAACGTATCGACATGCTCAATCTCAGCTGTTAGCACATCACTAACCTCAGCCAGCTTGCGGACTGCCTCCGGGTTCATGAACGAGCCTGTTACATGGGTATCATGCGCGCTGATCTGCTTTGCCGGTGCCGCCTCCGCGTCGAGTATATTCATCTGGATGTTCAGGCGGTTTGCGGACTCCATCAGCATACGACCAAGCTGGCCGCCGCCGAGGACGCCAACTCTTGCAGAGTGCACCATTGTCTATGTCTATGAGGACTTCTAAACACCCAAAGCGAACAATCTCTACTGATTGAGTCACACAATGAATTGAATACTTCGTATTTCTTTTTTTAACTTTTAGAAAGTCGAGATTTTATATCAGTCACGTGATGAAATCATAAAAAATCGCCCTTTTCACGACAACCAAGTTCAAGTTGATAGACGGCGATAGTCTGTGAGAGGAGCCACCTGCTCTGGAATAGTATTGAATGAAAATGATCAGAAAATTACTACATACGCCATGGGCCCCTGCAAGACGCTTGAGTCATCTTTGGTCTTGGTGGATCTCCAGCCAGTCAAGCGGCTGAGCCGCTGCAGCCTGGCGTCTCCCCATAACATATAAATAAATGTAAACGGGGAGCATCCAGACTCGGTCGTCAAGAGTTGTTACCTCAGTCTAAAACCCTTGATAAAGATGTCTCCAGCGACCATCGACAGCCTTCCATACGAGATAATCACTTCGGTGCTCTCATATATACCTGTCATTGAGTACAACAACATCAAGCTTGCTGGTAGCCGTCATCTTGTTCGGGCTATTCGCGGGTGGGCTTCTCGCATTTCATACCATAAATACGTTGAACTGCTTCAGCAGCAGGACACAGGAGGTTGTGGCTTACCCAGCGGCACGGTTCGAACCGCTCTTGCAATCACCATCGATCAAGGACATGACTTCATTGTTAGGCGGTACATAAACAGGTATGGAGGTGCCAAAACCCGACCCGTGAACCGTGAGAACCGGACGTTTGTCTCTGCATTCCATATTGCAGCATTTCATGGTTCCACGGCCATTCTTCGGCTTTTAATGGATAGGAGAAACATTAGATGCCAAAGGACGGGGGCTACAGCTCTTCATATGGCTGCTAAAGGAGGGTCTCTTGAGGCTATCAAGTTGCTGGTAGAGAATGGTGCCGATATCAATGCTATTGACTTTGACGAGTACACTCCTCTTAGACTAGCGTGGCTAGCAGACGCCCAGGAAGACGTTATGCGGTATCTGGAAGAGCAAGGCGGCTGTAGGGATGCCACGGAAGTACTAAAGAAGTATCCCTCTCGAAAGTTTGCAGATCTGTTATGGAGTTGTACGGACGAGCCTGCACCGATAGTAAACGTGGGCCCTGATATCATACCATACAGGGATAGGCGCCGAAAGGGCGTTATTCGCTCATTTGGTAGATATCTCATCGCAAAGCGAAACGAAGGCTCAGCATCAAGCCAACGATACCAAAGCCACCTTATTGCCACTGCTGTGGCGCGCCAGGCCCATGAAGTGGTCGAGGCCTTGATCGATGATGGATTTCCTGTTGATTCGTGGATCAGTTCGGCAGGTCAAAACTTGCTGCATAAAGCTGTTCTACATGACAATGCAGCCTTGGCTGAGTTGCTTGCAAAAAACGGCGTAAACCCTAGCCATGTAGCACTTGGATCAACTCCCTTTCACCATGCCGCAACACTCGGCCACTTACGCTCGCTACAGGGAATAATAGACGCCGGATTCTCTGCGAATATGACAGACCATGATGGCCGCACAGCCCTTCATTGTGCAAGACATGGCTGCGAAACTTTTGTCGGTATTTTGGTCGACAAGAATGGTGCCGATATTGAGGCAAGGGACAACGCTGGTCGAACGCCTCTCCATGCATCTGTTCTCGCGGAGAACGAAACCGTTTTTCTTGATCTCCTTGATAGAGGCGCAGATATCAATGCCCGGGATAACAATCAAAACACTCCTCTTATTCTCGCCTGCAAACAAAGGGCCTACATATACTTCCACGAGTTGCTTAGGCGCGGTGCAGATATCACTCTTTTCAATGCTGACGGTCGGAATGCAATGGAAGTATCGCCTCAGTTGTCTGTGCTGAAGGATATCATGCGACTTGCCTCTGATCCCCAACTCATAGCAAAGGCAACAACAGCTCGATGTATCCGTCAAACCAAAGTCGATGATGCTGATGATGAGATTCCCCAATATATCAATGATTGGGACTGATGTGATAGTAAGAGTTCTGTTTGAATGAGACTTAGCTTCCAGATATCCAACTGGATCTAGTTAGAATAAACACCTACAATTCCAGGAGGATATAGAAACTTTTATATTTCATTATCAACCTCCTCTATCTAGGCTAAAGAAAGTATTAAAAAAGATATCTAACCATCCCGTGGGTGGCTGAAGAAAAGGGGAAAAAAGAAAAAGTTAAAGGTCATACCAGGATTCGAACCAGGGTTACCGGAATGTGAAACTGACTGCGAAGTCATCAGAATCCGATGTGCTAACCAGCTACACTATACGACCGCTTATGGAAGATTCAACCCGCCACTAGGTGTATATGTAGGGTGTAGCCTCAGGCCACACCAGCTGAAACATCAAGCCAACCGCCAGTAAAGCCGATATAAAAACCAGAAAAATGATCCCAGCTTTCGTCGCTTGCTGGGAAGGATTTGCAGCAGGAGGAAAAACGGAGAAAAAAAGCGACAAGACGGAGTGGATGCAAGTTTATTGTGGTCACTTGATTCGTTGCTGTGATAACCGCACTAAAGCAGACATGACCTAACATTACATAATCTAATTAAAAGCCGAGGCTAAACTTCAAGGCGCAAAAAGGGGGAGCAACAGAGAGAAAGACGACAACGACTTTAACGGCAAACAACAAGCAGAGACAAACGCAGTTCAGATACTTGAGATATCTCTTCTCTAAACAAGCTATATATTTACCGAGATTAAAAGCGGTGGCCATGGTTCAACCAACGGAACCCAGTTCTGAAAACCTTACAGAGCGGCAGAAGATGCTCCGGGGAGAGCTATACACAGCATTCACAGCCGATCTGATAGCGGAGCGGGAGAGAAGCAAAGCTGCCTGTGATAGATTCAATAACGCGGGTGAGGTGACTCGTAGACGCCGTGTGGAGTTATGGAGGGAGTAAGTCAGCCCTTCGTAATATCCAGCATCGCCAAAACGTTTTTAACGTCTGGTAGTATAGTCTGTGATAAACGTCCTATGCCACCACACGCTGCCACCCAAGAGGAAGATGATGCCCTCTTTGAGGATGATCCCTGGGTAGAAGCCCCCATACGAACTGATTATGGCTGCAACTTTAAGGTCGGAGAGGGTGCATTTATCAATTTTAACTGTATTGCACTGGATACTTGTCTGATCACCATTGGTGCCAGGACATTGTTTGGACCTAATGTGAATTTATATGCCGGTAGTCACCCATTAGATCCTGCTGTTAGACGAGGGACGAAGGGACCGGAGTTCGGTAAAGAGATTCATATCGGCGAGGATTGCTGGATAGGTGGAAACGTTACTGTCCTGCCAGGTGTTACCATTGGCAATGGTGCTACTGTCGGCGCTGGGAGCGTGGTGACCAAGGTAAGTATCCTTAAGAAATTCTTTGCATGTAACTACAAATTCAAGTGTTTAGTTATGTGCTGACCATAATACAGGATATCCCGGCCTTTCACGTCGCGGCAGGAAATCCAGCCAGAGTTATCCGCCGTATAGAGACTGACATGGATCCGTCACAAAAGAAAGGATAAATTACTGACATGATCCATATCTGTTCAGAGTTTTTCTAGGTATAGATTACCTATAGAATACACACATTAGATACATAAAGTGCTAAGACATGATTCAGACGGTGCCATCATTGCAAGTTTGTGTTCAATATATCGGTGGTGGAACGTTCTCTCGTACATAGTCAATTAGGATTCGAGCAGATTGGCACTCCTTAATTCCAATGACGCCCAGTCTGGGAATACCTACAGCATCTGCCATCCTCGTTTCGGCGTTCTTAGATAGGTAGACCAGTCGAATTCCTTTCCCTCGTTCAAGGTCTAATAATCGCGTGACAGTGAATGAAAGTGAATCCACCAGTGGTATAGGAGCCGTCGACCTGCAGATGAAGACCACTGATAACTTCATTGACTGTTGGCTTGCTTTGTATTCTTCCTGAACTGCTGGGTTTGTCGTATCCCGGTCCATCTCTCCCACGGATTCGAGAGATCTCATGGTCGAATTGAACCCAATGGTAAGGTTTTTCAGCACCTCGGGTGCGTTAGAAGATGCAGACATATTACTTGGAGCTTTTTCTTCATCTTTATTTTTGGATGCAGCCTCCTTGCGCAGTTCTAGCTTTTTCCACTTTTTGCATTTTGACGGCTTCGGTTTTTCATGTCTCCATGCTCGAATAGGGTATAATAATCTGCTGGGCGAGTAAGCCAGTGTCACATTGATAGCACAAAGCAGACCTACCTGTACAGGAGGTCTTCGATCGTTTCTTGATGTTCGTGAGAGAGCTCTGTTCTTTATACATTGTTAGCCTCTGCAAGTGTATCATACTCGATGTCAAGTGAAGATTCTTACGCCGGAGCAGAGGATCGGTATTTACTCATTTCGTACGATGGTACCCGGTGGGTTGAGCCGTATCGCAGTTGAAAATGCGTTTTCTGTGCCTGTATATCGTTCTAGAGTGAACGGTCTTTTATACAACGGAAACTATAATTTAATAGTGCTTTTTCAAGAAGGGGCTGGTGTTAGGATGATGAGTTGTTTCATGGAGTTCGGCAACCGAAATATTTTCCTTGAGATCAGCACAATAACTCAACTTGTCATCCCGCTACACATTTTTACCATGACGGGACAAATATTTGGATCATGACAGTTTATACACAGACTAATGGCATTAATACGGTTATTATACAATTGCTATGCATTAAGGCTTCGAATTAAACCAATGATAGAACGAGTGCGTGTGAGCATTTATTATTGTGAGCAAATGCTTCTAACGGACCCAGCCGGAAGCGCCTCGACCTTAGAAAGCATTCTTACCCCCTAATAAATGCAGCGATGAAGTAGTTAAACAACGCAGGCAGAACAACTAAGCCATAAAGCCCAGGGCAAGCGAAAGGAGTATTGAAACATTTCCAGGGCTCTGGCCCACTCTGATCTGTCTCTGGATAGAAATAACATTGGAAGCTCGAAAACAAAACTTGGCCATGTGAAAATCAGTAAGGAAAGCTTTTTCTTCGTGTCATTAATTGATGCTCTCTCTCCTCCCTCCCTCTCTCTCTCTCCTTGTATTTTTCCTTTCCTCCCTCCCTTTCGATTTTAACATGCTTCTCACACGTACAACGGAAGGGTGAGGGAAGAAAAACGAAATAACTCCATTACGATGCACCAGAGCGTCCGTCGAGTATCCTGTAAGATGTTGTTCATTCATTGATCTCATTTAATGCGTAGCATAACGTGTAAAACATTCCATTTATCTCGGTCTCTCTCTCTCCCTTTCCCATTTTTGTGTGGAAAGTGTATCGTCAATGTGGTCGTCAAGGGGTCATTGCGTAGCAAATAATTTCGTCAATATTCAACCTGAGTTTACTGCCAGGATAATAACTGCAGTTGTTTTCTTGGGCAGTTTTGGTGTTAGGGTGAAATGGAACGTGTTGATCGTAGATCATATAAGGGGAACCCATGCTGACGTTCCGAATAAGCTCCTACGGCGAAGTAGCCAGGCCAATCTCTGAGTCACTGGCGATCACGGAATTATCCTCCCAGGCATCTGAAGGAAAGTCAGGACCTGAATATTGGGCAAGACAAAAGCAAAAACAATACAGGTTAATAACAAAACAACGCATCGCGGCAACACATAATTCTGAAGCTTAAAGAGTGAGGGCATCTTGCTTACCTGATCCAACATCCTCTGGCATTTCCACTGTATACTGCTCCAAACTTGCGAGGACAGCTGTTGCATGAGACTTAGCTTATATCCGCTTTGATTCAAACGGGATGTACGAAAGGGTAAACAAAAACAAACCTCCAGCGCGATCAATAATAGCTCTGTCACCTTCAATATTTTCCTCATCGAAATACTTTTCAATGCACAATTTAATGACATATTGAATGATTTCAACAGTCGATGCATCCACAACGGTCTGGGCATTTGAGGTAGCGAGGTATGTCGTTTGAAGTTTATCAATGCAGGCTTGTCCCAACTGGCGTCCAGTTCGTTGGTAGAATTGTCGAGTAGTTTCCGTGGCATCATCAAGGTTCTTGAGGAACAGTATTTCTTGCAGATATTCAAACGCTGAATTTCGGACCAATCGATCATCGTAATGGAGTAATGTCGGAGCCCAATAAGGTGCCATCTCTAACACTAAAGACAAGAAAAATAACTCGTCTTGCTCCAAAATGGCAGTGTTATTAAGTGTTGGAAGTGTCTGGATGAAAGTGATATGATCACGGCCACCGGCCTCATTTATCGAGTCAACTGATTTTGTAGCAAATTCAATGAGACTTCGAACACGGTCAATTTCAGGAACCATGCCACAGAAGAGGAGTGTTATTTCAAGAAACGGACTGGCGAGAGAAGCTGGTTCAACTGCTAGGCCCTCCTCAAGCATATGTACTATGCTATCCATCAGTCCATCGATGGCCGGAGTCGTGCTCAAAAAAGTAGTGAATATTCTCCGTGCCGCCTCAACGTTTTCTTGCTGCTCAATGACTTTCTTTAAGAGTGCAAGTTCCCTTTTGTCACCCAACGCCAGAACAAGCTCGCTCTCCGCATAGGAAAGTGCAAGCTTGCCAGCTTCTGTTCGTCGTGACTGACCAGTTCGTACTGGATCGGCGGCTATGTCAATGTTCTCCAAGAAAATAGCAAGCAGCTCGGTGAGTTTGTAGTGCGAGAATTTTCTTCCTTTCTCGATCAGCCGTACGTAAGCGGGATAGACTTCTTTAAGTCTCCTGGAATCATGACCGTCCAGCCATACCATTTCCAGACATCGGAGAAGGAAGCCATGCTCTATTAGTGTTTCAACCTCATACAGTCCAAGGTTGGCAATTTCAACGAGAACCTCAAAATAGTCATCCCAGGCACGGGAGTAGAAGTGAAGTGTGGTCCACATAATCACCATGATTCCCACAACTTTTTCAAGCATATCCATATATTCTCGATGATATTCACTTTGGAGTTCTCTGTCGGAGTCCGCGTCCCCTAATCGATCTTGCAGGCGGCTCAATGCCGTTACTAGAAGCTTCGAAAAGCCAACACGAATAACGCTGTTGGGGCTCTTTGCAATAAGATTTCTCAGAAGCAGCGGTCTTTTACCGGTCCACTGCAAAAGCCAGTATGCAGCGCGAGGGCATTCATCGATAGATCTCTTGATGTCGATAAGAAGGGGCTCAACTTCTGGCAAGTCCTTCGATCTGGCAACGAGCTGTTCTAAAGTATCCAGGGCGACATGCATTGACATTTTTTGAATCTTCGAGGCGATCTCAGTGTTCTCGGTCCGGTTGATTTCTCGTGCTCGATTAAAGAGGCCAACAACGAAGCGTGCATGGTTTGGATCTAAGAGGCAATATATGCGAATGAACACTTCGTTTTCCAGGGCGATGTGATTTCCTAATTCCAACGGAAGAGGAATGCGAGCTGGGGAATCACCAATAGAATCCTCATAAACTGTCTTCGCTTTCTCCATACTCGAAACACGTTGGTAGAAGAGCATGTATGCGTTCCACACTTTGCAGCCAAAACGGACATGGCTCAAGCTATGCATATTGTCGCCTGTGCCACCAAAACACTGGTCTGGAATTTTAGCAGGATCGAATCTTGTAACGTCGGAGTCATTAAATTCCACCCAGGAGTTATTTGGCCCAGCTGATGGCCTTTCCTTGATGTAGGAATAGTAGTGTCCTGATTCAGCTGTGCCGCTGTGAACCAGGACTCCGACGAGTTCAAACATATCGGGTTCGATGGGTGCATCAGGGTTGCTAAGATAATCGATGGTGAAAGGAGACATATCTATGCGCTCAGGGAAGTGGAACTCGTCGTTTATCTTACTCCTCATCATTGAAATGACATCAAAGTCGAATCTCTTTAAATGAAATATGAGATTGTCTGGTATATCTTTCAAACACGCCCTGTTGTAGGTTAGTAATATAGTCTGATATTGTTTATAATAAGAAATTGTTTACCTTTTGACTGCATCTACGTGTTTTCCGCAAGAGGTACAAGAATATTTGTTGTCTGTAACATGATGTCAGTGGCAATGAACAACAGGACCATAACATGAGCAAAACCTACCTCCTTGCATGATCTCTCCTTCGACATATGCCCTTAAACTATCCTCAAGGCCGGGCTTACCTTTGATATCACACTGAATGGCGGAGAACGGTTCCAGGCGCTCAGAAATGTGCTCGCACTCCTTGGACTTGATTTGTTGTACAAGCTGACCGCCATAGAAAGATCGGAATTTTTTCTTATCCTCAGCGGAGCGTATTTGGCTTTCCCATCGATCAAAAAGTAGGTTATAAAATTCGTCGACATCCATCTGAATGTTGATATCAATTGGCTCATTGTCATACGTTCGAATAGTGTCCACAGCATTCTGGGGATCGACACTCTTCTGCCATGTGTCTTGAAGGTATGCAAACACTTTCTTTGTCTCAGTAAGAACTGCTTGGGTAGGATCGTCTTCTGAAGTTTCGACTTCCAGGATGAACTTGCGGAAGTCTAGATTCATAAATAATTGGGTGAATAAGGAATTAAGATAGCATGTGTTGGAGAGGTTGCGGAGACCAGCATAGCCTTCCGCGGAGCGAATGGTTTTCGAACGATCAAATATCCACGTGGGATCATATGTGTAGTCTAGATGCTGATTAGTATATGAGAACGACTTGAAGGTATGAGAAAGACGTACCATAAGGAATTATGTCTTCGAGCAGTTCGAGCATCTCTGCGCAATTATTTGTACTCCGACAAAGAAGAAGAATGATACTATAGATCTCTTGGCGAGTGGTAGTGTTCATGATCGGAATACTTGGTTGGATCTTATCATCCTGGGTATCGGATAGATTGGGAAAAAGGAGAGTGATGAACAAATTCGCCATAAGGTTGCTAGTAATGGTCAAACAAGTTAACGATTGGATGTTAGAGAGAAGAGAAATCTGAATGACTTACGTAGTACCAGCATCAATGTTCTCTGAAATAGCGAGCTCAAGGCACATCTTTAGGAGATAAGCAAAGCCCAAGACAACATGATCAACACGTTCACGACCGACAAACTAAATAGAAATTATCAGTTATACACTTCATAGTGAACGGGGTTGGGTGGATAGTTACTTACCTCTTTGCCATTGTGACTCAAAAGGATATTTCCCCAATCCTGCACATATTGCTTATATGGGATCTCTGTCGTAGGGAGCATAGCAACAGTATGGAAAGTCACCAAGGCAACCTCAAAGAACTCCTGTGCAAGCTGGGGATGCTTGACAGCTCGAGGCAAAAGTAATGAAATGGCTTGCCAAAATGACTTCACCATATCTGCACCAGTGGCAGTCGCGAGATTGCCAGTTAAAATGGCGTTCTTCGAGACTGTGTTTGACCAGTAACCTTTTTGGAGTGGTGATTCGCCGCAGAGACAGAAAATAATCTCTGCAATATCCTTTCGGATACCTGGTCGAGGCTCGGAGAGTAGTAAGCTGTATATGAGATCTGGCATCTGTGTGTAGTCCTTCAATGCAGCCCATATATGGTCGTCGTTCATGGAAGCTTCGATGAGTGTTGCGAATGAGCTTGAGATAAGTCGCTGTAAAGTTGGTTCATTAAGTGGGATAGAGGAATCATTGCGATCCAGAGTAAGCAAGGAGAGAATTAGGGAGATTAAACCGGACGGGTTCTTGAATAGATGCTGCGATGAATCTGATGTTGATTTTGCAAATGCTATATAAAGTGTCAGCCAAAACGCTCGGAAATACTATAGAACGAATATTGGAAGCTTGCCTTTCAAAGCTACAAGCAGACAGTTCACGAAGCTGCATGCAATGTTGAGTTTCAAAGCATTCTCGCGCAGGAGCTCAGACATTCCAGGCTTCATCAGAATAGCATCGATGTTCATAATAACATGGGAAATAAAACCTTGATCGCGGTTTAACTGGTAACCATATGTTAGCATAGATATAGACAGAGTTCAAATCACTGGAAATGGGTGCAATATCATACGCTCATGCTCTCTTCCCGCATACACACAATTAGACAATTGAGGATGTAAAGGAGTTTATATGGCTTTTCAATAGGGAACATATCCGATTCGCCTATCTCAGGGGATCGGACAAAATCACGAACTGCCTGCTGCGGAGGAAATAGAACAAGGAAATCGAATATCTATGAAGAGGCGTTAGTTACCATTTTCATTCCCAGAAGTAGGGTCAATATTGAATTCGTTGCTCACCTCCTTTGAAAACCTTTCGTCCAAGCTCAATAGGTCATAGAGGTCATTGAAATGTTTCAACACTTCTGAATCAACAAGTGTCAAACTTTGACGCCTCCCGCCAAACGAAGCCTCATACGCATCTGAATCTTTCCTGACAATAAGCAAGCCTGCAGTTGCGAGTTTCAGATCCCGAATCGTCTGGTTTGCGTTCCCACCACGTAGATCTAGTCTTTGTCCACCGCTGATGGTAGTGAATTTAGAGAAACCAGTGACATGAGCTATTTTATCCGCGAGTTCAGAGGCAGTTGATAAGTCTCCGATGGTAAATGTGCGAATGCGAGATTGTGAGCCCGTACTGAACGCCTGATAAGATATGTCTATAGATTCTCCCCTTATTGACTCTGGGTTGAGCGGCATACACGGTGGTGAACCTTGGGGAGGAGTGTAGTGGGGCCGTGTACGGAGGCCTTGGAGAAGTTGGCGGAGAAAAAGGAGGGAGCGGGCAAAGCGTAGCTCTTCGGCGTGGACTTCCTTATCGGATGGGACTATGACCATAGGTTCGTCTTCGCCACTTGTGGTTCCATCCATGAACGTTTTTAGTTTGGTGGCTGCAGCTGCTAGTTGGGCTACGCAGCGATCGACGAGGGATACATGTGTTGCTTCAGCAGATGACGGGCTGCTTCCTTTGATTAGGGAATGGTCCAAGTATGTATCTATAGCAAAGTTGATAGCATTGATGCCGATTGTTGGATTGGGTGCCGATAGAATAAAGTGCCAGATCCTGTCCATTCCCGGAATAGTGATTACTTCTCCATCACTAGTGACTGGTTGGTGATGGAATTTGACATCGTAATTCACCGTTTGCCTTGCGAATGAGAGTACAGACTCTGTGATGTCCTCTGGTAGGATGCGGGGAAGATAATCGTTCATAAACGTTTCCAGGAATGCGTTTCGTTTTAGGCATCGGGAGGCAGATTTGGACAAGATTTCCCACATGTAATTTCGGTTCTGCTCACTTATTACCTTCGATGTAAATACTTTATCCCACATAATATCGATTAGCTCAGGAGAAATTGTCTCTGGCACTTTGTCGATAATGCGATGGACTAGGTTCAGTCGTGGTACGATGGCGTTGCATAGGTGCTCATCCTCTCCATCGGCGGCCGGTGCCGTAGCTGCATGTGCGAGTTCCGTAATGATGAGGCGGGTGAAGTCGAGGTCTAGAGCTAGACGCCGAATATCCTGGGTATCAAAGGTTGGAATTAGGGCATTAAGAGCATGGATACTCCCGAGAGCAAACTCGTTCATATCAGAAACATCCTGGATACATTGTTGATAAAGTTCGGTCTTATCTGCTTCGCGTATGCCAAGGCTAACAAACTGGGAAAGTTGTTTACTAGCGAATCTCTGGATTTGAGACCTCTGCTCCAGAGGGAGTTCGTTAGAGGACAGTGCTCCTCGAATCAGCCTGACGCATAGGCGGACGGGCATAATGTCGATTTGTGGGTAGTGGCCGAGTTCCTGGTGACGTAAAGATTCCGCATGTTTATTCCTTACAGCGTTCAGCAGCATGTCACAGAATTCAATCATGCGAACATCGAAGCGTTGTAGGGGTAACTCTATGAGTTTGTTGCAGATGTAAATAAGTGGCTCGGGCTCGTGGTGCATACTGAAGGTAGACGAAAGCATGGCAAGGACTTCGGATACAGTTCTGGGGTCATGGCTCTCGCTGACAGTCTTCCATATAATATCTGTGTCTTCATTAGTATATGTCGAAGTTACGACAAGGAAACCGACAATATTGCTGCCACGGCTAATCAGTTGAGGATGCGATTCGACGCCAACGACATAATCGACAATCTTATGCTCGCGCAAAAAATTGACCAAGTATTTGGTTGTTGCATGGTTAAGCGCACCGGGCACATTTTGGATATGCTGAGACCAGAAGTTTACCAGATCACCTTGGATGGACTCCATGCCATAGACTCGCAGTTCCATGCGGCCACTCATGATATGCTTCTTAAGTATAGTGAACTTCCAACCTAAGCTGACAATGTGGGAGAATTCAAGGGAGCTAACACCATCTGGGACATTGAGCTCCAGGTCCCTGCCAATAGCCGTAGCTGACCCTTCATCAAAACTACAAAGGATCCGGAACGAATTGCCCATAGTACGGATAATAGTCTCACTGGTGTCACTAGAGAGACAGGATGAGGACTTTTCTATCAGAGATCGGTATACAGGCTCAGAAAACCGGAGTAATGCATAAACCTGTGTAATCACTTCCTTGGGGTTAGGGCGGCCATAATCGGGTTGGTATCTTCTCCCGACGAAGGAGTCTAGGACGTTGTGGGTGACACTGAGAGCCGAAGTAAATAGGGAGGTGAGAATAGGTGACTTGGCAAGGAAAGGCGAAACGGCCCTCGTGAAATTAGTGAGCACAAGTACGCCATTGACCTGTTGACCCGCAACGCAGTCATTAAGATGGCCGACCAAGTCAATGATCTCAGAACCGTAATCACGCTCCATTGCAGTATATAAGGGAATTTTGCGAAGTTGAAGCATCGAAGCAAGTGGCATCCAGTAAGTCCTAGATATTGGGTCATATTGAGCAGCCCTGTCATCGGGGGATTGAGATAGCTGCTGTGCATCGAGAGAGATGACGTGCATTGCAATCTCGACATAGCAAGAGAGAAATTGTTCAACAGATGACATGGGACTTTCTCCTTCTTCTGCCACAAACTCCGTTCTAAATAGCCGAGTTAGCACGGTAGTTAGTACGAGAGTATACAGAATGTATATATCTTACGTCCGCCTCAGGAGGCCTTCAATGATAGAAGGAACCTCTTCCCAAAAATCACGGTCCTCAATAAATGCTTGATATGTGAGAACGCTGATAGTCTCACTGCATAAATCAAACCAGGACCTGAGAGCATCAAACACATTAAGATCACGTATCGTTCCTATATATATGAGTCAGCCTTCCCTACAAAGCAAATAAAAAATATATAAAGGTCGGACTGACCTCTCTCCATAGCAGCTTTCATATCCAAGACACACTCGCGGATATTATATGCTGCTCTGAAATTTGGGAATGCTTCTGCAAGGGAGGTTTCTTCATGAATCTGAACGACTTCAGGCTTCCTTGGAGCCCGTATGGCATCATCTAATGGTCTCCAACTCGTAGTAGCCGGATCCTGGTCCATGTCTTCCGGGTCTGCAACCTCGATCTCGACGCTTGCAGCAGAAGAAGGAGAATCGGGAATGACGATGGTAGTCCGTTCCATGGGTATACTAGAGTGGATATCATGGTTCACCGTTGGGTTAGGGCTGGCTTGGAATACAACCGACTCGCTGTCCAACTGTGAAATAGGATCAAGGTCAGGTTTTGAGACATTATTGCCGCTCTCTATTGCGGGATCTTGCTTTTCCGTTGATGAGGCTGTGGTTTCCCTGTCTTCGGGTGTGGCTTGAGATTGTGCTGTTTCCGAGGTTGGAGACTTCATATTAATGGTAACTCGACTTGATGGACGAGGAGGGACGACAGGACTGCCATTCATTGATTTTTGGGTGTTAGCTGCGGGTACAGGAGTGATCGGCATTCCGTCTTGATCCTCGCCGGCTGTTGGAGGTCCACTATGCACGCTACGTCCATCCGGAGTTCCCACCGCACCTTCTTTTATAGTACCTGGAGTATTGTCAACTTGATCCTGGGGTGTTTGCAGGCTCTGCTGGTTATCCTGTGTGTCTTCACTGGTCTCGGCCGGAGTCGTAGGTGAGGTCATTGAGGCAGAGTCATGCGTGCAATTGGCACCGCTGCCGCTATCAAGCCGGGGACGTTTGCGCGTGGACTCTGAGTTTAGTTCTTCCATGAGTTCGCTGCAGCCAGTTGGCGACGACGACTGGACAGGTGACGAGGGCGAGTCGGAAGTATGGATACCTGCTGGAGAACGGACGACTGGATTGTTTGTGTCGATCGACTGTGGCTGCGGGCTGACGCAGGTGCCAGGGCCGGTACCACTGCTGATGCTCGCGGCGGTGATGTTGCTAGAGTGCTCTAGCGGGGTAGGGCCCATGACATTTTCCAGTATGGCGGCTGTCTGTTGTTTGCTTCGTAAGGAGAGCCTCAAAGGGATATCTCTAGCTGATAGGTGCTTGAAGTGAGGATTGGGGGAGGGGGGAGAGCTCTGGGGGTCGGTGGTTAGGCTGGGGAGAGCTTTAGGTTTGGCTTCGGAGCCGCAGGGATCGGTCGAAGCACCACCGCGGCGAGCTGGTCGAAGGAGTTCTGCAAATGAAGCAATCAGCTAGAGGCACATAGCAGCAGCAGAAGAGCAGTTGTATCAGGCCGTCTTTCAGCAGCACTGGTGGCTGGTGGTGGGTGGTTGGCGGTTGCGGCTGGGACTGAGGTTGTGGTTGTTGGTGTTGTTGTAGAAGTCGACAGGCAGCAGCTGGCAGGCAGCTGGACACCAAGAAGGCCAGCCTGCGCCGTGCAGGAGGGAGGTCAACACTCACACTGAGATTTCTGCAGCACTGTCCGTGTCGTTTTCTGCACTGCTGGTGTCTCCCCAGGCGCAAACTCCATCCCATCAAGATGTCGGTCTTTTCTCTGCTCTGCCTGTCTTTCTTCCGCCGTTGCGTCGCTTTCTTATCGATGACTCCATCACAAACACAAAAAAGAAAGAGGCGGTATTGTGGTATCGGCTGTACGCACCTGTCGCTGCTTTAGCGCTTTTCCATTGGCCAATCTGGCAGAGCTTGCGTATTTATCGCATTCTATTGGCTGCCTGTTATTCGGTCGCTGACGTAACAGCACACAACGGCCAAAATTACTGTATTGCCATACAGATATTTCAATGACTAAGCAGCTGACAGCGTAAGTTTGGAGAAAAAGGCCAAAAAATCCAAACAAAATACAGTCAAAAATCCCAATGTTTTTGACTCTTTTATTCGAGCCCATGGACGCTGATGATATTGATACTTTTAGTTGGATTGTTAAGCGAAGGAAAGATGCAGAGAGTGTGTTTGAAGCCGTCTGCGCAGCGTAAAGTTGGTGTGGAGCCAGCGAGCTACCTTTGGCTTGTTGCTGCTGGGTGTGTCCTCCGCTTAATTCCCATCAATATATATATCCAAGAGATATCAAATTGATACCCCCAAGATAAGCTATACAGGACAAGAAGAGATGCTGTTAGGATGCTATCAGTATGGGTTTATTACTGGCTTAACCCCTTAGCCGATGCCGTCAACCTCTTGATCGGCTCAATCCAGGCATGCATCGTCATAGACAACTGCACCACGAAACGAAACAGCAGAAGTCCTTAGCATGGGATCGCCTACCGTTACATAGGAACTATGTCTTTAGATATATTTTTTGCCTAGCAAATGGGATAACCTGTGGTAATTCCATTGTGCTACCCTTATTTTGATCATTTATTGATCAACTACCGAATTTTTTCGTGTATGGTGAAACAACAAAAGGGGAATCCCGAATGATTGGAAGATACCAAAGTGATATATTGGGATGTCTAGTGAAAACAAGAGAGGGCGTCACGTCAAGTCATCTGATTAATTATATGAGGTCAAGATGTCGAAAAATGAACATATTGGGTTATTAATATCCATCATTCACAGGCTCAAACTTACAATGTCCCAACGGTGAATGTCCCTCGTGTAAATTCTCGAAGAGCCATATGCGATTTACCTCCCGGTTTATTCCGACATACGAAATGGTGACGATTGCAAAACGGGGTTAAATATTTCCAGCGCATTTTGCAATTTATCACACGCCGGCGGAGCTCCGGGCTAATCAAGAGTCTTCGCTGCAACACTTGTTGAACTGTATACTTTCATATGACAGATGAGACCACTCCGCCTTTCAACTGAAGACAATACCACATCTATATTTCATCCAGCAAATAGATACGGGTATCCTGGGCGTTTCTGTGTTCTGCCTCATGCAAGGTGACATTTATGGAATGTATTCGACTTTTTATTTCTCGTCCCCTGGCTTCATCCTTGATACCAACCGTCTTGGATGGCAGCCTGGTACATCCAGTCACACATACACTTTTATATGAATAAAACAACACTTCTGGTCGACGATGGAGTCCCTTGTGTTCAGTGGACCCATATGCTCTTAACTTTCAACCCGCATAGACCTCACATGTGGCCGCCGGACAGAGGGAGCTGGAAACAAATAGTTACACCAATGACCCATATTGTTAACTAACACAACCTCGTGCGGGCGCGAGAATAGCGATCTATACTTCATCTTGACGCTTGAGGTAATCCATTAGACAGTGCCGTTGTCGCATGCGTTCTTCGTAACGGTCTGTTTGTATGCACCCCATATGCCGGATAGACTACCCACCTCCCTCCGTCCGTATCACCCGTTTCAGCGAGTGCTACTCCGTAGTGCAGACATCTACGCCAAGGTCAGCAAGCACTATACCCGGCATCCAGGACAATGATACCCATTTTCCCTTGTTGATCTTGACGTGGGCAGACACCGTATTTTACTTATTCCCGAAATTGTTGAAAAATCACCCATCCCCAACTGCTTGGCCAGTCTTGGACTTGACCCTCTTTATATCCATCTAGACCCGCTTTTGTGTCCAGCCATCCACCCTTTTTTGAAGCTCTCGTTGCCGGGGTTATCGGGTCGATCTTATATATTCTTATTCAGCTGGATCTCTCAACCTATTCTCGGCACAATCCACAGTGAAGTCTGGTCTTTTTGTAGCCTCCCGACCAGGGTTACTGTGGCGAGCTCGGTGTCTTATGAAGAGCCCTGATCGTTGTTATCAGATGTCGGTAGCGAGCATCTCATTATCTAGCTTTTTTTTTTTGGTGACGGCAATAGAGCATTAGTTACCCTTCATCCTTGGTAACAAGAGTTCTCCCACTGTTCAGAACAGCTAGATCTAATTTGGCACACACCAGCACTATATTGAAATACCCTTGAAATATGTTGTGTCTATCACGATATTAACACGTGAGCTTGCAGATCCCGTCTATATGAATGACGTCTTCCGTACGGACTACGCTTGACACCATATATTTTAGCCGTGAGACACAGCATTGAGTGCCGATGCATATGCTCTTACAAATACATGTCGGCTTCTCCTCATCCCGACAGTGCAGACCAACGACCGATGCGGTTGTCCAAGACAATTGAGTCTGGGTTGGCTATACGAGAAGCCTGATGCCGTACGGCAATGCCAAATTTTCCTCGGGCACTATACAGGATGCTGATTGATCTCTGCAGGGCGCATTCCCGTTTTATTTTTCAAATTTAAGCTTATACAACTGCGAGATAATAAACCGGATCCAGCAGAATTATCAGAATGGTTAGTATGGTACTCCGTACTACGCTTGTTAATAATTTTGCAACCCCCAACGATCGACTTGACGAACAGAGACAATACCCGCTTTTACCGCCGCCACAGGAGAATGATGTTCACGACAAGAATGAACATCACTATCTAGTCTCAGCGAACAAAATCGGCTTACTTATGAATTTCACGGGATTTCACGACCCATTTCCCCTTTCTCCCGACCAGACTCTTTCCCCCCAAATCATCCGAGAGAGGATGTTGGCATATGAATATACCTCTTAGTGGGACTGGGGTATACTATTCAAGCATAACGAGGCCATAAAACTATCATGCATGCCCAGAATGCCTAGCTGGCAAATCGCGGGTATATCCCACGGTCCCTAAACGTTGAAACGGATACGTAGTGGTTTCATCCCGATTTACCGGCCATGATTCACGAACATTTCCTTGGCTTTTTTGCTACCAGTCAGTCAGACTACTTCCGCTTTACCCCTGAAACATCGGCAGACGCAAAGGCGGAAGCTAACGACGACCCTGCGTGTGCGGCTCTTCGAGTCTCGGGATATTCTGAAAAATCAATTTTCCGACTACAAATCGCAGCGAGATCGCGGGTGAGCTAGTCAACCATCATACATCAGACACAGAACATTCCGTTTTCTTTTCTAGGGTTAGGTTAGATACCAACGCGGGCTTCAGGAACATGAGAACAACACAGCATCCACTTTAAGCCCTTAAGTTGTATGACAGCATACAAGCTCCACAGCTTCTGGGCATGCATCGAAGCTGCAGTTGAGAGTCAAATGTCAGGGAGAAATGGCTGAGCCACAAGGAATAAAAAGGATCCAATCGGATCCATCGGTCATCAGCATATGCTGAGGACGGGAACAACAATGGAACAGATCAGCGACGATCGTTCAAGGATTACACTCATTCCAGCAGCGAAAGGGGCTGTAAGTAAATTGACACACTTTTGATTCTTTTTCCTCCCCTCTTCCTTTTGACCTTCGAAGAACCGAACCGCCTAACGGATAAATTAAATGTTAACTTACAATAGTTACGAAGATCACCAAAGGATCGGATGTCTAGATCTTTGTCCATTCTTCCAAGAAAGTATGCGTCAGCTCTAACTAGTTATTTTTGCAACTTGATCAATCAGTAATGGTTTTTCCTGGGATCCAGCATGAGAACCTCCACCATCGCCTCCAGCGAGACGTTGCCTCCTGTAACGACCACTACAAGCCTTAGCTTGCCATTCTCTGCATTATTGGCAAGCCGCCCCAGCTCTTCCTTGCACTCTTCAGAAAACAGTAAGGCGGCTAGAGGGACTACTCCAGAGGTCTCGGCGAGTGTCTTTGTCTCAGCAACGAAAAACTTTAGTGCTTGTCGGATTTGCTCGTCGTTGACACCAAAGACATCTCTGACATATGTCTTGTTGCTGACGACGGGCCAAGCTCTGGGTGCAACGCAGGATCGCAGCCCATCCGCAATAGTGTTGACTGACGAGTCCACCATCTCCCTTCTTTTCCCACTCTTCCTGCCAGCCAAAAGATCGGCCGACCCCTTTGCAGGTTCGGTACCATACACATTAACGCCATGTGGCTGGCAGTAAACGGCTGTTCCTGCAAGCAGCGCGGCACCTGATGTGGGGACAAGAATGGCATCGGGCTTGGTGGCACCAAAGTTCTCATGCTTCTGCATTTGGTCAATGATTTCAATGCCCACAGAGCCATGGCCTCGAATGATATCGTAATCGTCGGCTGGTGCTAGCACGGATGTACCAAGCGATTCTGCAAAGGCTTCGGCAGTGCGCATGCACTCTGTCACTGAATTCCCCGAGAGATGAACTTGTACTCCTTGGGACTCTGCGAGGTAGACTTTGGTTTTGGATGCTGTCGGGGGCATGAATGCGTGCACTGGTATTTGGATGCCACGCATGCGGCTCAGGAGAGAGGCTGCATATCCGCTAGCAAAGGCATGGTTCCCTATGAGACAATGTTAATATGACTTCTAGCCAAGGTTCTCAAGGAAACTGAGGGGCATACTGGAAGCGGTTGGCACTTACCCGTACTGAACACCACAATTCCCCTTTTAAGCCTCTCATCAGACATGCGCGATAAGCAGCACATGAGACCACGGATCTTGAAAGAGTTTGTGCGCTGCAGGTTCTCAAGCTTGAAATATAGCTCAATCGAAACGTTTGGGGCGGCATCGTTAACTCGAGTGTTGAGGAACTTTGCTAAGGCCGAGTTGGATTCAACTTTGTGAAGCGGCGTGCAATCAACGAAGTCGTGGATCTCCTGGTAGGCATGTATGACCTCTTCTGGAGTATAATTGACTCCCGTGATGGGAGTAGTTTCGACAGCGGGCATATCTAACTATCGTCAGTCAGTATCCTCCAGCCGCAAGGAGAAGCTGATGCCGGAGCTCCTATAAGGGGGTGTTTACCAACCAAATGCTGAACTGCACAAACTACTATGAAATACTTCCTCTGAATGTGTCAATGAGCTGTGATATGCTCTTTCTGCGACAGATTGTGAGTTAAATACCTGAGAACCATCATCTATGGAAACATATATATACATTCTATAGATGTTTGTCTGATGCCTGCCACCTATGCACTGGCTCGCGCCATTTCGGCCTAATCCCGTCCACTACTTGGCACACGGAAACATTTAATTACAATTCCGTCGAGATTATCTTCTTGACAATTGTTCTACGACCATGTGGGTTCATTAGTTGGCTGTTGATCGACTGCGCCAGGGCAGATCGGGTCTTAACCAGACAGACTTACGCAGGACACATTCAGGAGAGCCAGTCTCCAAGTTATTTACTCCTCACCTCCTCCATCAGCGCCCATAACTATGGATTATCCCGATGATCTTGGTTTATAGAGCTCTGAAACTAACCTACAGCGGCCATGGGCGAATTACAAGCTTGCCATCACCCACTCAGTCCCATTCGGACTCCAGCTTGGAGTTAGTGCATGCCATGCATCCTTCATCAGGGTTTACTACCTTGGCTTGCATCTCCTTATCGAAAACTGTGCTCCTTGCACCCGTCATGCTTCTTTTGGCAACGTCGTCCGGGTATCCGGTCGGCATGGATCGATGGACGTAGAACTCCCGTAGTTCAGTCGGCAATCCAGGTCAAGCGCGCTTATAAATTTAAAAAATTTTAACTTCGCAAGCTTCGGTGGCTGAACTCTAATTAACCTTTTTCCTTCCGAGAGCTCGGATCCCGGGCCTGAACTTTAACTCACCTAGCTCGGGATGAGGATGAACCGTGCAGACAGCAAACAAGCGTGCAATTTTTGCTCGAGATAGCCCGGTGCTAGCTGCCACTACTACCGCCACGTTCCCACAATCGGCAAGTTAAATTTGCATTGCAAATTTTCACACAGGCTGATGGATCTGGGAACTAGAAAGGAGAGCATGGGTTGACAGAATCCGCCTTGGCCTTTGGCGTCATTCCAGAATCCACCTGAGCCCCCTTTTCAAGAAGCACCTTGTTAGGCACCATGCTTAAAACTACCGGTAAATTCGGGCATGTATTGCGGTAAGATCTACGGCAAGCTCTGATCAAGTGTCAGCTTTGAAACGCTTACGACTATTCAGGGAGGGAAACTTCATTCCATTCGCCCCTCTGAAGCCACTTTTTTTTATTTCCTAGTGTGAATACGATTTAAGGTCTCGCTGATATGGATATATAAGACCGTTATGTCTCCAGTTCTAGCCCAGTTACGACTCTATCATATGCCCAAGCTCACACTGATACCAACCTTTGTTATCTCTTGTTCATCCACCTACTCTTAGTCAATATGCATTCCCCCGATACACATCAAGTATCTTCGGAGAAAAAAGGGTTCACTACTGCAGATACAACTCCCGTTCATACGCCGTTGGAAACAAGCCGTCGTAACTCTGAATGTTATCAGCGCGGAGAAGATTCCGTATCAGAAAAGGATCAAGTAGATGGCGGTCTCAGGGCATGGCTTGTCCTCCTCGGTGCCTGGCTATGCTTTGCCAACTCATGGTACGCAACTACCTTCTTACTTGATTGTCTTTCTCGTTGATTGATCCAACTAACTCTCTACCTGGTAGGGGCATAACCTCTGTCTTTGGTGTATTTCAATCATACTATCTGGAAACCGGCATTCTCGGCCCCTCATATTCAGCGTCGTCCATATCATGGATTGGGTCGATACAAGCGTTCCTCACTATGTTTGCTGGTGTCTTCTCAGGCCATCTTATGGATACCGGTTACACGCAACAGGTTCTATTTGTTGGCACTGGTTTGATCGTCCTCGGAACCGCGTTACTCTCAGTCTGCAAGGAATACTACCAGGTCCTCCTTACACAGGGTATCTGTGTTGGTATCGGAAGTGGTATGCTACTTCTTGTATCATTAGCGATGTTGTCGATGTGGTTCAAAAAGAAAAAGATGCTTGCTGCAGGTGTGGCGTCAACAGGGAGCGCGATTAGTGAGTGGCTTGTTCTAGGCCTTGCATTACGAGTGCATAATACCTGACAAATATTGATTACTTCCAGCTGCATTCTACATACCAATCGTCTTGAGTAAACTGTTTACAACTATTGGTTTTGCCTGGACTGTTCGAGTATATGCGCTTATCATACTCCTCACTGCTGGGACAGCATGTCTGGTGATGACCCCCAAGAAAGTCGCCTTCAAACATGGACCGTTGATCAACGTGAGCTACTTCAAAGATCTGAAGTTTACTCTGTTTGTCATTGGTAGGATAAGTCGCTACCCCTGATAACAAACTGAGAATCTGAGAAGCTAACTACTAGTCTTAGCTTTCGGTTTCACTATGGCTGCCAACTACATTCCTTACTTCTACCTAACGGCCTATGCAAAGGCTCTAAACGTCAAGTCGGGAACACTGGGCCTCGTCAGCATTATAAATGCTGTCTCAGCCGTCAGCCGCCTCCCTCCCGCCCTCTTAGCCCATTAGTAAGTGCCAGCTACAAGCCCTAGAAGAACGAGCCTTGCCTGCTAACATCATCTCTAGCATTGGCGGTGCAAACACTCTCATCATCTGCTGTGGACTATCGACTGTGACCCTCTATCTATACACCTTGACCACATCAACGTTTGGCGGGCTCGTAGCTCTCGCTGCTTGCTACGCCCTGGCCTCAGGCGGAGTTCTCTTCCTACCGCCCATGATATTATCCAACTTCGCGGGCAATGACCGTGCACAGTATGGAACCATGATTGGCATGGGCTATACAATTGGCGCCATAGGCGTATTGGTCGGTAATCCAATTGCCGGTGCCACGATTAGCGGTTCTGCAACCAATACAGCAGAAGGAGAAATAGGAGACATCGGCAAGGCGCACAGCAAGTACCTGGGCGTCTGGATCGTCGCGGGATCTTCCATGGCTATTGCCACAGCCCTACATTTTAGCGCAAGGATGATCTGGGTGAATTGGAAAATCAAGTCTCGGGTATAAGGGGGAGCTGACGTTTGCATGACGACCGACTGCATTTGGGAAAGCCGGAAAAGGGGAATAAGGGATAAAATTGCGATTTCAATTTGCATCAGTCTATTATTGAGACTGTTCAAAAAGTTCATTCTATGATAGACTGTTTATATTCTCACCTTCTAGTGTAAATGTTTTTAGCTATTATTTGACACAACTTGACTATCTGTCCGAGCTTGTTCTTCTCTCCCATGCCGTTCTCCCGGTAAAACAATCTATAATAAAGTTAGAACACTACCCGCTTGAACTAAATAAGAGAGTTTGAATTTGTACGTACCGCCCGATCAAGCTCATAAGGTAGGCCACGGTGTCGGCCACGGACCATCATTGCACACATAACTAGCTTACTGACGGTGGTAAACTTACCCGACAACCCAGCATTTATAGTTGGATGGCCAAGGGAGAGGCCGACATTTCCACTAACGAACTGTTAACTCGCATTGCCAAATCAATAATATGGAATTACGTACTAGGCAGAAACAACTTCGAAAAAGATAGCGAAGATTTGGAAGGCCTGAGTGATATAAATTAGTATGCATAACTGGATTGATTCTTTCATGATAACTCACAGGGTCAGTCAGGTCCGCAATCTTATTCCCTTCTGCTATAGTTATGAGAAAGACGCCTAGGAAGATGTACCATAGGTCAAAGGCAAGCTGTTTCTTGATATGCTGTCCCAAGTAAGATGAGGAGTCCGAGTTCTCATCGACCTCCTTGTCAGACTCGTATAGACCCAATGATGACTCTTCGTAAGTGTTCGTCCTGTATTATATTAGTTTAGAATTCTGGTGGCAAATATTCCAGAGGGCTGACATACTTCCTCATACTGATAGCTACCGGAAAGACAGAAATATACATCATCACTACCAAAGATGTTAGCCGCACACATTCCCAGATAGCAGGGACATAATAACAACTCACCCATCAAACTAAACTGCACAGCAGGATGAATCTTAGACAAGGAAAATGCAGTAGCTCCAGCAGTTCTTGCTGCCGTAGACTGAAAAGATGCAGCGCATAATCGGTGCCATGTTGTATCTATCGCCGTGACTTCCGGATTCTTCAGGTCCAAAATCATGAAGAGCATGATATCCACCCCGTTTATCAGCACAAGTGTCCCAAACAACGTCCATGTTGCTCGACTGGGGAACAGAAGGGTGTAGCACCTTCTAGGGTGGTCAAGGAGGAAGTTCAGTGGTTCCCGGATAGCTGAGGCTTTGGGTGAAATGTGAAACATGCACCAGATGATGAACCGGAGCATACAAGGGTAAGCAGTATTGCCGACGAGGATGAGAAAAGTCATGAGGAGCATTGGGAATGTGCTGGAGCGAAAGTTGACCATGGAGTCTGGAGTAAGGGCAAAACCTAGGTTGTTATACGTTGTCATACTGGAATAAAAGGCCCTGCCAAAATGTCAGTCTCTCAGTATGGGAATTTAGATGCTAAGACGGAGAACTTACCACCAGACTGGATGTATTCCATTCTTTGCGAGATACTGTCTGTGACTTGGATCCGCAGCATAAATCCAGATTACAAGACATATAGACCCCAATAGTAGGAATCCAAAGTAATAGCAACCCACTATCCTAGCTAGCAGCTTCAAGCTCCGATATTCAATACCGCCTAATTCAATTCTCTGTTCTTCAGTTAGGTTGAGGAATTGAGAATTCCGGCCTATGGTAGGAGTATACGACAGATATGGGGCTTGAGAGCCTCGTGAACCAGTCCTACTGAGTGGCCGTAGAGAACGAGAAACCGATCGAGAGCGAGATCTGGGGCGAGATGCACTGCCCAAGACAAAAGCTGATGAGGCGGCTTGTTCCACGGATGTTGCGTGAGATAGGATTCTTCCCAGCTTTCCTCTTTCACGTACACTCGATGCGCCTACGATTGACGGATCGACGGATGTTGCTTTGGTAAGTTCATCTCCTGCATTGTATTAGAATAGTTGGGCAGAGCAAGAGAATGCTATCTTGGGGACATCTCACCATCAGTTTCTTCATCGACTTCATGGGCCCTATGGCCGGCTTCAAACTGTCTTGGACCGGGAATCCTAAGGGCCTTCTCCCTGGGCCTGAAGGTATCTGTCGAAAACGAAACGTGTCCAGGTCCAGTAGTTGGCAGCTGTTTTTCAACAGTGGCCGGCTTGGGGTCTTCCTGCACCTTTTCATCTGGAGGGTGAGCGTTTCTATGCTTCAACCCTTCAGGCTCTCCGGCTTCTGCTGGCTCCGATGAAATAGCGGCTATCTCTGTGGCTGTGGCCGAACCAGTCGCCCTGTGGCTTCTTGGGCCATGTTCAATATGATGAGACCGTTCCGTAGACGGTAGACGAGAGAAACGCACTTAAGATGTTGAGTTAATATCGTGTTTGCCGTCGTATTAAGCACAATAATATGTCAAGTCTGCATACCGATTTCTTTGAACTTGGACTCAAACCAGTACAGCCGCACTAGGACGACAATGAAGTTGATGAAACATATGTTTCCAAGTATAGGACTGATATAAAGGACTACCTGCTGGTAGATAGTAAGTTCCTTAAAGTCGACACTATGTCCCTAGAGTTAGACGCATATGTTCCATCTCGTCAAAATATATGAAGACATGTCAAGACATCACGTACGAGTTCAGTCCTGTCATCGTAGCTGCTCCTACACCTTGGAACAAGGCGTCGATCGCAGTCATATTCTTCAGGGGATATATCATCACCATCCCAACGAGACACAGAAACACGATATAGACATCTACCGACCGCGTCAGTCCAGCTCAATATACAGCAAAGAACAATAACTCACAATGCACCACAATAAAAGACGGCCTCGAAACACGCGGCCAGACGCTTGAAGAAAACATCCTGAACATTCAGCTCCAACCTGCGAGCTGTTTAAGAGGCGAGGTACGCAGAAGGCGGCTTCAAGGCACGTCTGAACAGAGACATCACTATCAAAGCCGCAACGAGCTGATAAATAGGCAGCAGCCGGATGTAACGAACAACCAGTTAATGCTCGTTAACCAGTTACTCAGGAGGCGTGAAATGATATTTTAACGTCCACGAAATGAAATTGAAAGGAAAAAAGGCGAAGGCTATATATAAATTTCCCGACGAGAGACAGGGACAGGGACCGGGGACAGGGATACCAGGGCCAAAGCAGAGCCAACCGCAGCCCTTGCACAGCTTTCCTTCTTTCTTGCTTGCTCTCTGTGAAAGGCCCAAGGCGGCCCGGCGGTCACTGGGTGGCCATTTAGCGAGCTCAAAGCTAAAGCTTGTGAGAAAAGCGCTTTTCTTTGCTTCTTTTCCATGTGGAGGCCAGTCGAATTTGATACCGGGAAAGTTATTCTGTGCTGCCGGCGAGGGATTAAGGGGCAGCTGAGCCAGCTGCTAGTTGGTTTAGTGAGTTAGCTTAGGGCTTGTCTCTTTGAGCGGTGAATCATTTCTTGCATCGAACTGGAGAGGCTGGTTGTGCCAGATGGGATGGCTGTTGGCATGGACGGTGATGATTTTGATAACTCCCTAGTGGTGAAATTGGTCAAGCGGGTTGTGGCGACGTTAATCTTGCGATACTACGGTGTACTATTATTCTGATCGAGCGAAGGGTCGCCCATCAAGCTAGGGAGTATTAGCCATCAATTAAGAGGACAGCTGACAGTACAACAATAGGATCTGCTATTACTCTTCCCGTAGGTGGAGGTGTTTTTAATATAATGGTACATGGAGGGTGGTAGACGAATTTGATAGCAAAAGACGGATGCATCCCCGGACGCCCAATACATGGCAAGAAAAAGAAACAAAAAGCAGTAAAGAAGAAGCAAAGACACAACTAAACGTCCTCAAACTCCTCTTCGTCCTCGTCAGAGCCGGCATCTTCCTCCTTCTTGACCACCGGCTCCGTCTCCGTCTCCGTCTCCAGCTTAACCTTCTTAGCCGCCGGCCCATCCTCCTCTGCGGGCGTGATAGGCGTCCCCGCATTCGTGTTGGGTCCGCTAGTGCCAGATTCAGAGTCCAGCTCTCTCTTCAGGCTGCTGCCGCTGGCGGCAGTGGTGGTACCATTCGCACTGCCGGTTCCGCTTCCGTTGACCGTGGGGGTCCCGTTGGCCGTGACTGTGGCGGAGTCCGACTGAGCACCTGCATCGGGAGTGGCACTGACGTCTTCAAATTCCTCCTCGTCTTCGTCATCATCGTCAGAGGACTCCGCGGCCTCCAGCTCCTTCTCCCGCGCCATTTCGGCGTAGTAAGTAGCAATAGTATCGTCCATGTCCTTCTTCTCTTCTTCCTCTTCATCTTTAATGCCAACTTTGCTGTCTTCAGCAGCGGCATCAGAGGTTGCAGTTGCGGTTGCGGTTGTGGGGGCAGTACCGTTCGGCTCAACCTTGACGGTGGGCAGGTTGCTTGCTTCGGTGGAGACGGTGGAATGAGTATGCCAGACCGGAAGTGCGTTCTGTTTCTCCAGTGCAGCCTTTCGTGCTTCCTTCTGTGCCTGTTCTTCCGCGTTCTTCTCTGCAGACGAAGAAAGACTGACTTCCAACGCCGATGCATCTGTCTTGTTGACTCCTTTGACAGTCGACGAGCCCTTTTTGTTGACCGCGATCGCAACCTTCGTCGGGTTCGTGTGTTGGTTCCGTATCACGTCTACCTTGTGTTCCCACGCAGTGTCAAAATCGTTGGGAGGGATTTCGGTAGAGTCGATTTGGATCAGGAGTTTCAGGATGGAATCCAACTGCGCCATAAGCTTGCTGTTCTTTTCGTGGCCGCTCCGGTCAGCAGCAGCTCCCTCGACTTCATCAACCGTCGATAAGGTAGCGTTGCACCGCAGACACTCGAACCCTTCCGGTCCCACGTTGCTGAGCACCTCCAGCTGGGTCCATTCGGCCGAACATCGCTGGCAGATGAACTCCTTCCTCTCCTGGTTGGGCGTATATTGCGCTTTGATAGACGAAGTCAGGCGAGACACCCGATACTTGATCGCATCGATGACCGGATACAGCGGAATGTAGTAGTATTCGCGAGGTCGAGTCTGGCCTTCTCGCATCTCGGTCCGGTGGTGTCTGATGGGATATCAGTGTTAGCATCCCCGTCTTCTAGCGCATCTCTTTAACAAAGAGACATACACAGCTATAAGCCTGTCCTCACGGAGGCGACCACAAAGCTTCCGCACGTCTTTCTGCTGCATCCCCAGAAGGAGAGCCAGGTCCTCGGCGTTTAAGCTGTAGTATCAAAAAGAAGAAGAAGAGAACAGATTAGCTAGACCTCTCTCGAGTCTCGGAAAGCAAGAGGAGGCAAGGCAAGGCATACACTGAGTGTATGAAGAGTGCATCTATGACGAGGATATGACGGGTCTCGTAAAACGCCCGCGCCGTCATCCGAATAAGAGTTCCTGCGAGATCCATGCTGCCAGTTTCTTCACGAGGCCAGGTCTACAGTCTGCTAGCGATGCTGGCGGCGTTGTCGGCCTGTTGGTGTGTTGCTTCGGAGGGGGTAGGTGTGTGCCTATCTCATTGCGCCAGGCCGAAGGGACGCCCTCCGCGCGGCAGCGAGGCTGACCGTGAGCGAGATCCCAAGATACAGACACAGCGATGCTTCGCTATCCGATCAGTAGCAGCCCCGGCGAGCTATCCGTCTTGTCCGTGGACGTCGAAGCTGGTGGTGTGCCGTCGAATCGAATATTTTATATGTTGAATACCTTTTCCGATATTTGAATCATCGACTTGCTGAGTAAGTAGTTAGTAATACGATGACTAAGAAAGTGAATGACGAAATGATGAATAAGCTTATGATGAGTAAGGCATAACACAGCGTTTCGCTTAGACTCGCATAAAACGCCGTTCCGACACGCACCCACCACAACAGCACGGGCTGGTGGCGCAGCGGTTAGCGCAGGGGATTGCAGCTATGTTTCTTCACAACGAGAAGTTATATATTATCCCAAGGTCCCCGGTTCAATTCCGGGTCAGCCCTGTTTCTTTTTTATTTTTATTTTTTTATATCCATCCTTACTGCTCACTTAGATCCCACACGGTTTATTGACTTATTTACACCTATTTCTAGAGGCATTCGAACGAGAACCCCTCGAGAAGGAAAAAGCGACATCCCAGGGTCGGTGGCGTAGTGGTTATCGCAGACGATTGCAGATCGTAAGGTGCCCAGTTCGATTCTGGGTCGACCCTAACATGTGTCCTGTAGCGTTTTTGATATCCTCTAGGGCTACTGCCTGCCTACCCTTCATTCAGGATAATATTCTTTTTGCTCCTGGAATGCTTGTTGGTCTCGCTGTTGTTCTTTTTGAGGCTCTAAAATTAGGTCATGTGCCGATTTTAATAACTGATTAGGTAATCGTCCATGACCAAGCTAAAGTCGACTTCGATCTCGAAAATAACAGAAAAAGTTGAAAAATAGGAAGCGAAACAAGACAGAAGATCACGAATAGCCGCAGCATTGATAGATGAACGTTTCAAGTTCAGTTCTCCCAGCATGGATTCAGCTGTCCAGAACCCCAGTCCGGGCGATAATCCCGCTAAACAAGACCCTCCTACCCCTCAGGCGACTGTCGCAGACCAGGCCGGCGAGCAGAAAATGGACTCGAGCGCAACTGGAAGAGGTGGCCGAAATAAACAGAAAGATATGGGAAGGAAGGCTTACCGGTAGGTATCTCCTTTCTAAGGAGAGGTTTTTGTATTTTTATTCGTACTTCTTCTGCTTGGTCATGACCAACTAACTAAGTCAGGAATAAACACATAGATAGGCGCGCAGCAAACGACCGACAGGAGGCCAAACGGAGGAAGCTCGAGCAGGGAGAGAACCCAATGCCAATATATGCCACTCAATTCTCCCAGGAGGATATTGATGCCGATGTGCGGCGGCCAAAAAAGAAGGTTATCGTCATGTTGGGCTACTCTGGCACCGGATACCATGGGATGCAATTGTAAGTACCACATCTCATAAGTGGCCAAGAAAACCCTCTCTAACAAATATCGTAGATGTCCTACTGAAAAGACAATTGAAGGAGACTTATTTGCGGCCTTTGTTGCCGCTAACGCCATCTCCAAGGCCAACGCCGTCGACCCTAAGAAATCATCCTTTGTCCGCTGCGCACGAACAGACAAGGGCGTACATGCAGCCGGAAACGTGGTCTCTCTCAAGCTCATTATTGAAGACCCAGATATAGTACAGAAGATCAATGAGAAACTGAACCCGCAAATCAGGGTGTGGGGCATCATACCGGCGACCAAGGGATTCAGTGCCTATCAGTTCTGTGATTCTCGGATGTATGAATATTTGATACCCTCGCATTGCTTCCTCCCTCCCCATCCGAGCACTTTCCTGGCCCAGAAAATGGTTGAAATGGCGGAGAAGCACGGTGATATGGAGGCATTTAAAGAGAGACAGGCTGAGGTAGAGTCTTACTGGGAAGAAACAGACAAGAAGCACATCCAGCCCATAATAGATGCCCTGCCCGAGAAGATCAAGCCCTATGTTCAAGCTGCAGTTGGGTCCGTTGGAAGCGAAGAAGAGAAGGCAACTCCAGCCAACACTGGGTCCGGAGAAGCTTGTGAAGAGCAAACAGAGCAAACAGAAAGTGATACCAAAAAATCCGACCTTACACCGGACGAACAAGCCCGGGTTAACGTGGCAATCAAAGACATCAGGACAGCCTACTTCAAAGCCAAGAATGAATACCGTATACCCCCTGAACGCCTTGCGCGCATCAACGCCGCATTAGCCCTCTACGTCGGCACTAAAAATTTCCACAACTACACCATCCAAAAGACCTTCCGCGACCCCTCCGCAAGACGCTTAATAAAGTCTTTTAAAATCTCCCGAGACCCTGTGGTCATCAACGGAACTGAATGGCTAAGCTTAAAAGTTCACGGCCAAAGCTTCATGATGCATCAGATCAGAAAGATGGTTGCAATGGTTGCTTTGCTCGTTCGTTGCGGAGCAGATATCAAGCGTATTGAAGAAAGCTATCAGAATTCCAGGATACCGATTCCCAAAGCACCGGGTCTGGGGCTGCTTCTTGAACGACCTATTTTTGACGGGTATAATAAGAAAGCCAAAGACCTCGGTAGAGAACTACTGGATTTTGACAAATATGAGAAGGAAATGGACGAGTTCAAGCTTAAGGAGATATACCAGCGTATCTTCACGGAGGAAGCTGAGAAACATGCGTAAGCTCCCCCACACTCCGTTTCTGGTGTTGGCGACTACTAACATTTTACCTGCTGAAGTTTCGGAACCTTTTTCAATCATATTGATAGCTATAAAGAAAATACTTTCTTATATGTCACTTCAGGTGGCCTAGCTGCCTGCAGCTCGTCTACTGCCCAACCCACTGCTGCTCAAGAGGAAGATGCCAGGAAGGCTCAAAGCAAGGTTCTTGCAGAGGTTGAGTCAGAATCCGAAGCAGAGCTTGTGGATAACGGTGAAGATGGCGGTTAGTAAGGATCGTGGTAGAAGAGCCCCGTGTTACTCACTTTCGTGCGGTATATAGAATGATAGATATTCAATATTGGAGTCAAATAAAGACTCGGTTTTTTTTCATAAGGATTTACTGTATCAATTCTCGCGTTACTGAAATTGTATCTGTGAAAAACGGCTATGACTGGGACATCCCATTTTTTCTAACAGAGGATACATAAGAGACACAGATAAGCAGATTTGGCTTTACTTCGAGCAAGACGAAATAGGAAAAAGGGAGAGAGATATAGGTAAGTAAAAGTAAGCAGAGAAACAGTAAATTCCTCAGTGTAGACATAACTTGACCAATCAATCATCATATCACAGCTGCGTATATTCATTAAGCGTGTCATGACGACCCTCCCCGAAAAAATAAAGTAGCAAGGCAAATAAAAATAAAAAAATAAAAAGAGAATAAAAAACATAGAGCAGAAGAATGGACATATGAAATAGAAAAATAAAAGAAGAAAAGAAAATTGACGCGGAGGGAGGGACATTTGCGGGACATTTGAGATAGAGACAGTTATCCAGGAAAATCGACGACAAAAGGAACTTGTGCTACGAGGCAACAAGTGGAGAAGAAAAAGCACAGATTGCCTGCCAGAGATTGTGCTATACTACAGTCAGTAGAGTAGAAAGAAAATGACCTTTAGAAGATGAGTGATCGGGTCTTTTGGCGTCGAGCCTCTTGGGAATTGATGTTTGGCTGCGATAGTTGTGGTTGATGTCGGGGACGTGGAATGCCCCCTGGAGTTGGTCTACTTTGACCAATGTGTTGCTCCTTTGGAGGGGGTGGGGGTGCGTATGAGTGTCTGACAAGCTTCCTCTCTTCAACAGTCGGTTTCTTATCCTCAACAGGCCGTTTGATGTTCAGGTTCTTTTCACGGCGGAGAACAAGATCTGTCCATGGTTTGGCTTGGCCACTTCCAGAAGAGTGGCACTTTCCAACGGTCTCCGAGAGGACTTTCATCCAACCGTCCTTCTCTGCCCTGCTGTCGGCGTAGAAGTCAATAACCTCTCCGTTGCCGAAGCGAATTCGGAAACCTTCTTCGACAAACATATAGCCCTCTTCCTCCTCGGCAAAGGCAGATTTACGTCTTCGACCACCCTTAGCAGATGTCTCTTTTTGAGTGAGAGATGACCTGTCATCTATCAATTTGACTGCTTTGGCCAAATTAATGGTGGCACGGGGCTGGCGAGTAACCTCGTGGAAGGCAGTTAATTTAGATCCTTGTAGTTTAAATAGACGGCGGCGCCAGTACTAGTTACTTGTTAGCCTGTAGATTATTATACGTATCTTCGAGCAGTGACTTACTGGACAATCGCCTCCTTGCTGGGACAAGAATCCCTCCCAATTTCTAGCAGCGGCATGGTCTGCTTCCCTCATTTCGCGAATACAGGCGTTCATGCTCTTTGGCATATCATCGTCAGTGGCACCTTTGGGCTTTGGAACATACAGCAATTGAAGCTCCAACGTTCCAATCTTATACGGAGGTCGACGAGAGATAGTGGTGGCAGTGCTTCGTTTGCTCTTAACACTGCTAACAGTCTCGTCGATGGCCCACTCGTTGAAAC